GGTGGGGGGGGGGGGGGGGGGGGGGGGGGGGGGGGGGGGGGGGGGGGGGGTCCAAGGAGGAGCAAGGTGCTCCAGGGGAGCACAGCTCCGGCAGCGACTTGAACGGCGAGGCCTTGAGGGAGGCTCTTTGCAACGTGCACGTGAGTCGTGTCTGCCCGCGGGATGATGATCCCCGGAGGCGATGGGACCCTAGAGCTCGGCATGACCGCGGACCATCGCTGCCAGACAAGATGCGGCCGGACTTGGCCCGCCCGCGCGGCGTGCGGCGAGCTGCCAAGCGTTGGTGCTGTTATCTCGTTGAATCCCTTCTTCCTTCCTCCCCACGCCCCAAACACACAGGTGCTGAAGGGCCATTCCGAGGCCGTGCTGGCACTGGCCCTGACCCCCACCCAGCTCGTGTCCGGCTCCTACGACGCCACCCTGCGCTTCTGGGACCTGGGCTCCGGGCGCTGCACGCGCAAGTGCGAGGGGCACGGCGACGCCGTCCGTGTGCTGGCCGCCGCCGACGGCCATGTCTTCTCCGGCTCCTACGACGGCACCATCGGCATCTGGTAGCGAAGAGGAGCTGGGGGGATTGAAGCTGCGTCGGAGGCGCCCCTGCGCCAACGGTGCGGCGACGCAGGCGCAGCCCGACCTTACCATGCGAACCGCCCGCTGTTTCCCAAAGGCGGCCTGTGACACCCGTGCTGCCCTAGCAGGCCCGGGCAGCGCACCACTAAAGATTCCCTCAATAGTAATACAGCAGCATGCACGCCTCGGCTCCTGGCCGTCGGCTGCCATCAATCCAAACACCAAACCTCGTCCCCTGCTGACCCCTCTGCGACTGTACTCTACATCCGTGCCTGCCAATAGACACCACCCTGGCATGCCCCGCTGCCAGCTGAAAGACAAACGCACCGGCACATGCGCGAGAGCAGGAGTGATTGAGGAGGTTGCTTCAGGACAAGAACATCCGTCACGCGACCGCGATACCCTGGGGCGTGGGCACCAGCGTCGGCAGCGTGGCAAACCTGCGTCGCTTCTGCGGGCGCGCGGCCTTCGCGCAGGCCGCCGCCTGGCCGGCCTCCCGGCCGTCGGGCGCCACGTCCTCCTAGTGAAGGTGGGTTTGGGGACGCTTGGCGTGTCGATGCATCGATTGTGAAATTCAGCAGGCACCGGTGCATGTACGTCCGGCATCCAAGCCATGTACCTGGCGGCTGCACCGCCAGGGCAGTCTCCGCCACCATCCCCCAGGCGGGCGGACATGGGGCCTTGCGGCCGAGCGCGGCACGGCCAACCCTGGTCGCGGTGGGGATGCCAATCATTCCTCCTTGTCCCCCCCTCCTTTCTCACCCCGGCCTGGAGTCGTCGGAGAGCGGCCTCCACGGCGGGCGCCACCTCCGCCAGGGCCAGGCGGTCCAGGGCCAGGTCTGCGACGCGCGACCCCTCGGCCTTGCGCAGCATGGCCCGGAAGTGGCGAACCTCCTCCCGGCGCAGCAGGGTGTAGACCGCGCCCGGCGCGCCGGCGCGCGCGGTGCGCCCCGCCCGGTGCACGTAGGTTTTGGCATACACGGGCGCGTCATAGTTGACCACGGCGGCCACCCCCGCCACGTCCATCCCGCGCGTCAGCGCGTCGGAACAGACCAGGATCCGCGCCCGGCGTGCGGAGAAGGCCTCCAGCGCCAGCCGGCGCCGGTCGGGGCCCAGCGCGCCCGAGTACTCCACGCTGTGCCCGCGTGTCACCCCCTCGCCCAGCGCGGCCAGCAGGCGCTGCAGGCGTGCGGTGGTCTCCAGGGAGGAGGTGAAGACGATGGTGGGCGCATCAGGGCCCAGCGCGCGCAGCAGGGCCGCCAGCGCCTCGGGCTTGCGCTCCGCCGACACCACGTGCCGGAACTCCTTCAGGCTGGGGGGGAGCGAGTAGCGCTGGGCCTCTGTGGCGTGGAGTTGTGTGGGGGGGAGGGCGGTGGGGTTGGGTCGGGCCCAAGGATGGAAGTACTCGAGCTGCGACCCGTGCACGAGGATGCGATGGAGCATGGGTGCATCGCGCTGCATCGTGGAGCCTCACAGCTCAGATTCCAGTGTAAGACTGTCCTCCCTCCCCCCGCAGCCCTCCCCCCCTGTTGGTTCCCACTCTACTCCTCCTCGCACCAGTGGCCATGGCGAGGAAGCGCGGCGCGTGCAGGCCCAGCTTGAGCAGCTTGGCGGGGTCCTTGGTCAGCGTGGCCGAGGCCACGACCTTGACCACACGACGCGCGGCCCCCGTGCCCAGGGTCGCGGCCAGCCAGCCCTGGTATGACTGGCGCAGCAGGCGGTCGCACTCGTCCACGACCAGGAAGCGCAGCGCACCCAGACCAAAGCCCGGGGTCGCGCCCACGTGCCCCGCCAGCCGCCCTGGCGTGGCCACCAGCACGTCCGGCGCGCAGGAGGCTAGCATGGCCGCCTCGGCCGCGCCGCCGGCCCGCCCCGCGGCCAGGCCCAGGCCCAGGCCCAGGGCGGCGCAGAGCGGGGCCAGCACGCCAAACACCTGGCCGGCCAGGTCGCGGGTGGGGAGCACCACGAGGCCGCGCAGGGCGCGGGCGGGGCGCGCCGCCAGCGCCGACACCAGGGGCAGCGCGTACGCCAGGGTCTTGCCGGAGCCGGTGGGCGCGGCGATGCAGATGTCGTGGCGGTCGCAGGCCCCGCCCGCGGTCTCGCGCCACACCGTGGCCTGCACCGGGAACAGCTCCTCGATGCCCTGGTCTGTTGGGGGGTTGGGGCGGAGGGGGAGGGAATGGAGAGTTGCGCTGTGAAGATGGGACTGTGGAGCGGTGGCACAGGCTGAGGATGTCAGCCCAGGCCTGCTCAGGATCGGGATGTCAGCCGCGCATCTGATGATGTACCAGGCAGTCGAGCACTCGTTGCCAAATCCAAGCCGTTCCCATCTCGGGCGTGCTCACCGCGCAGGGCAGCGGTCAGGCGGGGGTCCATGCCCGACACTGCCTCCAGCCCGACGCCCGACCCGGCATCAAAGGCGACGGGAAGGCGCATCCATGGCAGGACAGGCACGCTGCCTGCATCCTTCGAGCTCACTGAAGTCTTTGCATTGGAGGCTCTCCTGTCGTCCTCGTCCCCTCCACCGTTTGCCCCCATACCGGGGGCCCAACCCCCCAGGTGTTGCCTGGGTGGCACTCCGAGTCCTCACCCACTCGTCTCGATACAGCGAGTGATATAATCCGACCCTACAAGTTACATTCAGGTTCCATCATATAAGGACGCAATAGCTCGGATGCACAACATCGGAAGTGCTGCCAAGTTGGGGCGCAAGCGCGGGGTCGCCGCATCTTTTCACAAGTCGCCAATGCCTACTGTCATGCCGCTCGCCGTGTCCACCTGACAGTCCATTCCATCAGAGCCTTCGCAGACCTGTCACACACCCAATCCTGAGTTGCTGGTCATATGCAGCAGCCACCCACAGCCCCTCCCTCTGCGGATGCCAGTCAAAGGAGGGAATCCCCTGCTGTGCGACCTGGGCATGACTTAGTTGCTCCATCCCTCCCACCTCGTGCCTGCCAACGTGGGGAGGACCTGTCTGGCGTCAGTCGTGTGACAGGGGTATAACGCCCAAGCCCTGCGGCCACTGATCAATTCTATGGATCGACCGTGCGCGCACACAGTATACCATGCCACGGTCCTGTACCTGCACCCACCGTGAGTCTGCATAGTGGTAGGCATGCACGGACAGGGAGCCGTCCCCTGCATGAACGGCAAGCACTTCCCGGTTCTGAGGCAGGGGGGCGACGCCCCACAGCACAGAGTCCATTCGCGCCTAAGAAATGGGATATGGCAACGGCTGGACCGGTGAGCTGCATGACAGAATTGGAGGCTTGAAAGCATTGCAATCCAAAGCAAATTAACTCAGTATGACACAGGGCAATCTCAGATGAATTATGGCCAGCCCAGACCATTCTTGCTCATACCTGCTGCACCTCCAGGGCGCGGCCGTGGTCGGGTTGGCAGGGTCTGAGGTTGATCGTGGCAAGCCGCCCTCCCATGCCAGCGGCATAGGCCTTGTTCATGACGATGCCACGTCGATCAAAGGCCAGTCCACAGACGCCCTGCCCCTCCATGCTGCCAGACCAGAGGAGGGTGCCAGCCCGCAGATCCCAGAGACTGATTGTGCCGTCTTGCCGACCTGAAATGGGTGGTGGGAACTCCATACCACTTCCAGTCAAAAGCCCACAGTGATGAGCCCCAGGGGTGTCTAGGGAAGCAGTTCGCAAATCCATCACTGACCACAAGAGAGCGGGCACCGGGCTTCCAATGGCTCCCAAGATCGCCCACACCCACACCTGCCAGCACGCTGCGGTCCTGCTCGGTCCCTGCACCACCGAGAGCCACCGCCCAGGCAGCAGCCGAGGTGCCCCCACACAGCTGCGCAACCGGTCTCTCCGGCTGGCGAGCGTCCCAGACCAGCACACGCCCATCCGCAGCCCCGCTCACGACCTCAGGCGGCCCGGGCTCGCCGCTGCAGCCGCCGCATGTGTCCAGGGCATGGATCGCAGACTGGTTTGTCCCTCCCAACACACTGATTGGCTGAGGACGAGCCTCTACGAGATCCCAGACCTCGACCCCGCCTTGTGAGTCGCCCAGCACCACGTGGTGGGAGTCGCCGGAGCTGGCCAACATTGCGGCGGATGTGAGGGGCCGGCTGACCGGCAGAGAGTGGCTTGATTTGATCTGTGACTCCCGCATCCGCCAGATCTGAGCGGCCCCCACGCCTTGAACCGTGCATCCCACGCCGATGAAGGATGCTCGTCCGGGGATCCACCTGTGCATGGGCGATGCCAGTGCGCTCGAGGCTTCAGACGAAGGGAACCCTCCGCCGGACGTGAGCTCGCATGTGCATGCATACTCCCCGGCGAGGGCTGGCAGACGTTTATCTCACCTGACCGCACGGATGTTCTCAGAGATCGAAGCCTGCGAGATCACATGGATCGACGGCTTCAGCGTCATCATGCGACCCTACCCTGATCCTGGTGCTGGGTACCCGGATTGGTGGCTTATAACAGCGGAGCTGGATGCGTCGGGTCAGGTGGGCCAACGTAATGGGCTCCGACGGAAATCCCATGAAATCACAAACGCGTAGCAAAGTCGATCAGTCGGCCTTGGCATCGCTGCAGTTTCTGCCCGTGACCGGCGCTCACGAGTCAAAGCCGACGACACCGGTCCCCGGCCGGGTCCCGGTCCGGAGGGCTCTCTGGTGACAACTGGCCCTGGCCAGACCATTTGGGGTAACAATAGACATTTCGTCCTTCCGTGCCTTGCACATCACGTGACAGGGTGCCAGTCACCCACACTCCCTGTTAATTGCGCAGTAGGGCGGGGCCGCCCTCATAGCTCGTCATGCCACGTCGTCTGCGTCAACACCTCCTTGATGATGTCCTGCTGTGCCTGTGTGAGCATCTTTGGGAAGATGACCCTGTACGTCACCCAGAGGTCGCCCCGCTTCACCTGGACAGGCGGGAGGAAGATAAGCAGTGGATCTCCTGGACATGAGGCAGGGTCTCGCAAAGGGGAGGGGAGGATGGGACAGGCCCTCATGCCAGGCCCTGGCCTCACCCTGCTGATGGGTTCGCATAACCCCTGAAGCATCCAGCACCGCTCTTCCCACCCCCTTTGCCTCCCTGGCCGCCACCCCACCTCGTCCATGATGGGCATGCCTTCGCCCTTGAACCAGCGCTGCTCGCCGGGGCGTACCACCGTCTTGGACCCCACGGCGACCGCGTGCCCATCCAGGTGCTTGAGCTGAGGGCGCATGAGAAGGGGGCTTCAGAGCGGTGGCCGTTCGAGCGATGGGATGGTGCGTTCCTGCCTCTGCATGCAGCCCAGCTCACCCCCAGGCACGGCCCTCGGCACCCTCTCACCTCCAATACGGCGGCACATGCACTGCACGACCACCCACACCTCTGAGCCTCCCACTCCACACCCGGCCCCCACCTCGCGCGTGAAGCCGGTGAGGGCCTCCAGCAGCGTGATGTTCATCTCGGCCAGCAGGCCCGACTGCCGCCGCTCAAAGACGGGGTGCTTCGTCGTGACCAGCTGGATGATCAGGTCCCCATGCTCGCCATCCACGCGCGGCTCGCCTGCGCACCATGTATGGATGGGCGAGATCCTCGAGGCAAGGCAGGCTGAGAGCGGCAATAGGAGGGCGTGGGTAGGGCCTAGACAGGTCGCTTGCAAGGCAGTCCCCCGCATGCAAGCTCCCAAGGAGGGATGAAGCACCCTGGGGATGATTGATTGCTCCTCCGACCCCACCTCCCACGGGCAACGGACATGATCGTCCCTGCATCCCACCTACCCACCCTCTTCAAAAAAGGTGATGCGGTGGCCGTCGGGGGTGCCGGGCTCGACGGACACGGTCACCTCCTCACGCTCCCGGACGATCTTCACGTTGGGGCAGTCCTCGCACACCTGACGGGTGGGAGGGCGGCGTTGGGGATGATGCTGTAGTATAAACCAGGACTCGAGGGCTTGCACACATGGGGTCTTGAACAAAGTGGGCCCAGCAGATGGTAGCCACTGGCTCGTTCTGCCTTCACCACCCACCAAACCAACACACTCCCCTTTCACTACCTGGGTGGTGTACTGCTGGTACATGCCTGGCCCAACCTGGTTGGTCACCACTCGGTTCTTGCAGTTGCACTTCCGGGTCCCAGACGCCGGCTTCAGCACACCCTTGTCTCGCACCACCTTTAAAAGTACGAGAGGTGGAGGGGATTCGGGGGGAGTTGTGCAACCAGAAAGCATGCATGAATGAGAGCGTGCATATCTACAGAATAAAATCATGCCCGGCCTGTCACTCTGCTGCCTGTATTCCAAGGTCCCTCACATACCTTGAACTGGCGCCCCAGGTAGAGGTCCTCCAGGGAGACCTCCAGGTTGATCACGACATCATCGCCCTTGGGCGTCTGGGGCTCCTCCTGCTGCCCATGGCCTCCAAAACCAAAGCCGCCAAAGAACCTGCAGGGCAGTCGGGACTGGATAGTTGGTCGAGCATCACCTGGAATCCAAGCAAGGGAGGCAGAACATCCCCATGGCAGGGCAGCAGGCGCTTGACGGCAACAGGCACTGTCTTAAGACAATGTCCTTCCAAAGAAATGCACCAATCAAGCCCCACAAGAATACCTGCAGAGCCCTCGCATCCGTTTATTCCAACACTCACTGCGCAAAGATATCGTTGGGGTTGTGATGGCCGCCGCCGCTATTGCCCATCTGCTTCAGGCCCTCCTCCCCATACTGATCATAGATCTGGCGCTTCTTCTCGTCCGTGAGCACCTCGTAAGCTACATGGTCGGTTGAAATCAGTGGTGACATTTGTTGATCAGCCACGCCTGGCAGACGCTCGAAGCAGCACCCTCCAACCCACCCACCGTGGCCAATCTCGGCAAAGGTCTTGGCTGCCGCCTGCTTCTCCTCCTCAGTCCCCTGCACTTTGTCTGGGTGGTACTTCAGCGCGACCTTGCGATAGGCACGTTTGATGGCAGCGGCATCCGCGTGCCGGGAGACGTGGAGCAGGTCGTAGTAATCCTTCCTGTGTAGTGGATGGCGGTGAGAGGGCCTAGGGGTGATGCTTCCATGCACTTGGCCGCTCAGCCACCATCTGGCACAATTTAATTCATTCCGGAACCCAATAAGGTGGTTAAACATCATCCACTCACGCTGCTGTCGATACCGCCAGGAGTAGGAGAAGTGCGAGTGTCTTGGCTAGCCGTGGTGAGGTCATGGCGCCCGACAAGCCACCACCGCGCCCCCAGGTGTCCGCCTGGAGATGGGGTCCTGACTTCTGGCCCAGCAACCGCGACAGCCCAACTCGGTGTAATAAAGAACACTTCTGGCCCACCTCGTGCTGTCGCCGACCCACGAATCACCACGCCGATCTGTGATGCCGGATCCCTGGGGGGAGCTTGCACAGGAGGCGCAGGAAACTATAGGGTGAGCTTCACAGTGGAGGCATTCTGCCCTGTGTGAATTGAGTCTGTGCTGTGGACCAGGAAAGGATGCGCGCAGGCAGGCCAGGTTTCGTCTTGGAGCTTCTCAACGCATGCTACGCGTGCTTGGCCATCGTCTGATCAGCCCACACACAGGCCCTGCACCTTCAGGTTTGAAACTCTGCATCAAAGAGATACATTCCTCGTGTGATTCTGAGGAAGAGTCTCTTTGTGTTTCAGAAGACGACAAACATCGTGACTGACCAGCTACAGGGGCTAGAGGTGTGGACTCAGCACTGCCACAAGCAGAGTGGCCGCCTAGCACAAAATGTTGCTCCCAGATGAATGATCGACCGGACCTCGCCGGCATGCTCGCTCCTTACCATATTGCCACATCTCAGTCGCATCTATGCGTAAGCAGGAGCAATTCAATGTATGCATGCCACAATCCTGACAAAGATGGCCTCAACATGCCCGTTCTGCAGTCAGATACACCAAAAGCTGCATAAGATGAGCCAGAGATGAGTTGATTGTCGCCGAGCCTCTAACAGGGACGATCGGGAAAGCTTCACCCTCAGTTCTTCCGTGAGCTAGTCGACAGGGAGCTGTTGGCATCTGGCAACTAATGAAGTCAGATTCTCGGCAGCAGCGCGCGCCCGTGGCCAGAATTCCGACAGGTTGTTGTCCTCTCGCCTAGGGCTGGAAAATTATGAGGTTAATCCATGCATAATACAGACGGAATAAAAAACCGTCTCAGCGGGCCCTTCACTGCCTTGACCTGGCCAAAACTACCCCTGAGCACGCACGTACTCTCGAATGGCTACGTCGCAGGCAGCTGGCTATGAGGTCTAGTTCACCCCGCAAATTGAGCTGGATTGCCCGATCCTCACACCGTTTGAGTGGTAATCTCTCCCTCAGCTCCCTGCTGGAACCGGGCTGTCACCCAGGATTCCTGACAGATCCCTCGCTGAGAGCCCTCGCACCTCGCCGCCCGCCCCGCTCGCCACCCCTTGGCACAGGAAACATGCTACACAAGTATTATGCCCGGAACAGGTGGGAACCGGACGAGGTGGTGCAAGCAGGTGACTCTGTGTTCGAATCTCGCAGATCATGCCCAGCCCCAGTGCCCCTTCACAGGGTGACGAGGTCCACAAGACCCTCCCATCGCGTCGCGCCGGTGGGTCGTTCCCTCACCCTGGATTCGGAGCCGAAGTTCGGTTCGGATGCGGAGCAACCCTGCCCTGTGAGTCCTTCCAGCATCGCTCCAGGCCATCACCCACACGCATCTGCCTGCGCCTCGTCGTGCCTGCACAGGACACCGCTGAGTCTCGGTTGCACCTCCCTCCCACTCCTTTGCAGAGCGCTGGTAGAGGACTGGAGGTGTTCCCGCTTCCATCCCCCAGCGTGGGCTCTAACTGGGAGGAGGCCGACTCCCAGCTGAGTACACCCCTCGGTTCCCCACGCTCAACAACCGGCAGCTACACCTCCGCACTCTCCCCACAAAGGGTGAGGCGGCTCGATTCGGGGCAACAGTGTGTTGCCCATGTGCCTCAGTCAACTGTCCTGCTTGAAGATTCCACAGGAGCCAGATGTCATCCCACCCCTCCACACCCCTACAGGCATGTGGTGGAAGCTTCAGAGATGGCAGTGTCTCACCAGGGAAGGACCTGCCAACCTCCAGCCCAGACCATGTCAGGGCCAAGCAGGCTCCTTCCCCCACGCGTCTTGCAGCCCTGCCTGAGGCGCATGCAGTGGACACGCCAGAGGCCCTGCCCGGACCATCAGGCCACATCGTCGCCTTCTTGGCTGCCATTCTGGCGCTGGCACAGATCCTCTGTGCAACCCTGGGCCTGCTCAACGACCCTTCGATCGTGGCGCACCGCGCCAAGGAGGTGTGGAGGAACTCTGGGGCCGACCTGGCCACGCAACGCATCTGGGCTGGGGCAGGAGCCTGTGCAGGGGTGTTGATGGCGGTGCGCGAGCTCGGAGCTCAGCTGCTGGGCAGCCGCAGCAGCGGAAAGGCACGCATCGCATCATGAGTGTCTTCACCCCCTCCACATGTAGCAGCGGCAGTGATGCCTTCATGCCTTTTTGTGCACCTAGCTCCTGTTGAACTATAGCTGTATCACCCCACCGCTGGAACCCGAAACGCACATGTATATCCCCGCACCTTGTAACCTTGCAAGGCCCCGCTTCTCTTTCCGTGAAGTGCATGCTGTGTTCCGTTCAAAACCGGCCACACCGGGCGAAGTCCCACACGAGCGTCGCCGATCCTTCATCACATAATGCATGGTCGCGAGGCGTGATGGCATGGCGATTCGTAGGATGATTACTTGCCAGCATCAGTATGCCGAACGGTGATCCTTCTCAACACATGATGGGTCATCCGGGGGCCGCTGCGGTGCTGCACCGAACCGACTTCCCAGCATTTCCGCACGAGCCCTACAGCATACAGCGGGACCTGATGCGCTCTCTGTACGAAGCACTCTCAAAGGGCGGAGTTGGGTTTTTCGAGTCGCCTACAGGTGGGTGGAGAGGGGCTGGGCGCTGGCACACTCCCTGGCCATGCCTGCTTCAGCGCTGAGCGGCGGTGCACCATGCCTGCTGTACCCCTGACGAGCCCTGGTCCTGCTCGCAGGCACCGGGAAGACGCTCTGCCTGATAAGCGCCTGCCTGCACTGGCTGGAGGACTCGCGCGCTGCCAGCGCCACTGCCCCGAAGGCCGAAGAGGGAGCGGCGGTAGCTGGCGGGCCGCACATGCCGGATTGGATGAGAGGCCATGCGGAGCGCCTGGAGCGGGACCGCCAGGCCCACCTACTCCGGGCCCAGATGGAACGCCTGGAGGTTTTGCGCAGCGCCCGACGCCAGCGAGGCGCGCGACCGGCGGCGGGTGCGAAGACAGGGCCCGGTGGAGCACCAAATGACGCTGACGAATTCATCCTCGAGGAGGTGGAGGAGGGTGCAGCGTCCGAGCCTGGCGCCTCCAGGAAACGCCCGGTGCTGTCAGACTCCGAGTCGGAGGAGGAGGGCCTGGGAGGCCCCGCCTTGCAGGCTGAAACTCCCGAGGTGCCCAGCAAGACGCAGGTCGGCACGATTGGCGAGTACCTCACCCTGCTGCTCTGTCTCTGTATGCAAGGCTGGCAGTCAGCGTCCCTGCTTTGAGCTGGGGTGCCGTACAGGCACCATGGTCACACCTTAGTGTGCCCGCCTCCTGATCACCTCGTGCGTGCAAGAAACTGGTCTTGCAAACTTCCTTCCCCGGCTTCATAAGCCAGCTCCACGATTGACGCATTCCTCTGGACCCGACTCCCCACCCCACCCCCCACCCCCCACCCCAGATCATCTTCTGCAGCCGCACCCACTCCCAGCTGTCCCAGTTTGTGGGGGAGCTGCGGCGCACCCGATTCGCAGACAGCCTCTCCCTGGTGGTTTTGGGCTCCCGTGGCGCGCTGTGCATCAACGATGCGGTCGCCCGCCTGGGCTCACCCGCCGCCGTCAACGAGGCCTGCGCCGAGCTCCAGCGCCGCCCCGCGCCGCGCAAGAAGGTGGGGAGCGGGGAGAGGACGGGCGGGAAGGGCGCCTGCCCTTACCTCGCGCGCAGCGGCGCGCACGCCGCCAGCCTCCGCGACATGGTGCTGGCCCACCCCATTGACATCGAGGAGCTCGCCAAGCTGGGTGAGCTGGGGATTGTTTCAGGTGGGTTTTTGTTTTGATGAGGGGTGGTGGTGCACACTTCAGGACCCCTGTCAGGGTGCAGGCGACGTGGCACCATTGAACCCCTTGGGACCCCGGGGAGGGGGTCCCAGCCCAGGGCGACCTGCAGACTGACGCACTCTGGTTCCCACTCCTGGCTGACCTCATCTGCACAGGGCAGCGACGGGCCGTCTGCCCGTACTATGCCGCGCGGGATGCCCTGCCGGAGGCCGACATCATCCTTGCACCATACTCGGCCTTGCTGCTGCGTGTGAGTGAGGGTGGATCTATGGAGTGTTGCGCAAGATCCGCGAGGATCGGGATAAGTGGCATTGATTGGAAGAAGCCCGTGGCAGACAACCATCTGGCGCCTTCACAGAGAGCACGGGTGGGGTTGGACGACTGAAGAGGTTACTTGCACAAAGGGCATGGCAGGCTGATGCCAGTGGGACGCCTCGCTTTGCCCTCCAACCTCACTTTCCCCCTCCGCTGACAGGAGACGAGGGATGCCCTGGGTCTGCAACTCAAGGGCAACGTCGTCGTCGTCGACGAGGCGCACAACCTCGGTGCGTGCATGCTCGGCTATGCACTCTCATGAGATTGTTGAGGAGGGTTGATCGGGGGAGAGGATGGTCCATCAGATTAGCATGTGGCCATTGCCCTGGCCGGCGCTGCAGTATCGCATGCTCCATGCACACCACCAACACGTCACACCCTGACGCACGAGCTCCCATCATGCCCCTGAGGCGACACCATCCCAGTCCCCATCACCCTTTCCCCTCCCTGAATCTCCCAACCCCAGTCGACGCCGTGAACGACGCGCACTCGGCGACGGTCACGGGCCGCCAGGCGGCCGCCTGCACGGCCCAGATGGAGCGGTATCTCGCGCAGTACCGCTCCCGCCTGGGCATGCAGGCCTGCCTGGCCCTGCAGCAGCTGCTTCTGGTGTCGCGGGCAGTGGGGCGGGCGTGCGCCGCGCGACCGCAAGGCAGTCAGACCGGCGAGGCGCACGCGCGCTCTCTCAACGCGTTCGTGCTCGAGCACGGGCTGGAGGGCGTCAACATCTTCCAGCTGCTGCGGTGAGGGGCGCGAGGAGGGGGTTGGACGGCGATCGCTCAGGAGCATGAGGCTGTGCAGCAGTGATTGCCGGTGCTCGACTGACTCGGTGCCCTGCCAGGGCTAGGGAAACCCTCCTTGGAAGTAGCATGTCTGGGGTCTGGAAAGGACGCATGATCGTCCCCCCCCCCACCCTCCATCTCAACTACTACAGGTATGCAAGTGAGACCAGGCTGGTGCAGCGGGTGGCCGGCTACTGGCGCAGCTGCGAAATGGAAAACTCCGGGCCGGGGTCAAATTCAGTGCCCGGCATGGAGGCTGGAAAGCCCGGCGGCGGCGGCGGCGGCCTTGGGATTGAGGCGGCGGGGCAGGGCCCGCTCCACGCCCTCCTCTCCCTGCTGCGGGGCCTGCGCAGCGCGGACAAGGACGGGCGCATAATCGTTGACCCCGGGGGGGCTGATGGGGGCAGTCTGCGCTTTGTCCTGGTGGATGCGGGCCGGCTCTTCTCCAGCGTAAGTGGGACTCGGGGCGGTGGGAGGCCGCAGCTTGCCCTTGCGTGCTGCCATGGGCACCTGATGCTGCGCTGGGGGTAAGCATGCGGGCCCGGCGCTTTGGGTGGTGCGGTGCGGTGAGGGCATCAATGGGAGCTGCGCCTGTGCAAAGTGTGTGCCACAGAGTTGACACAGCTCCAACTGCCGTCCTCCATCAGATCGTATCCGAGGCTCGCTCCGTCATCCTGGCGTCCGGGACGCTGTCCCCGTTGGGACCCCTCCTCACCCTCTTCCCAGGCGTTCCCATGGACCGCCTGCACCGTTTCTCATGCGGTCACGTGGTCGGGAAGGAACGGTGTGTTGTCTTGGGGTTCGAGATGCACTGGGGAGCCTTGACCTTGCCTCTCAAGCTGGCACATGGAGCCCATCTGCCCAGCTGGCCTCTCAAAACCCCATTCATGCAGGCTGCTGGCCCTGGCTCTGGCCTCCGGGTCATCCGGCACCCCCTTGGACTTTCGATTCTCCAGGCGGGGCGACCCGGCGGTGCTGAGGGAGCTGGGCCAGGTGCTCCTGAACGTCTGCCGTGTGACCCCCGGGGGGACCATTGCCTTCTTCCCCTCCCACCACTATATGGAGGAGGCGGTGGCGAGGTACGTGGGGTTCAGATGCTGGACAACTGGGATGCTGGGCATGCCGTCCGTCTTGCCACGCTGAGTGTGTGTGCTGAGGTGGCAGGCGAAGGAGCTCCATCCGCAGTCTGAGTCCCTGCCCCGCTCCCCGGAGCTGTGCACCACTCCGCCTGATTTCTATTCTGCCTTGGGTGTCACATGCACTTAGAGCCTCAGATAACAACTGCAGAAATGGACTTTAAGAAAAGGGTATGTTGTGCCCCGAAAACTTGCTTCCCACAGACTCCTCCCCCCTTCCCCTCAAACCCTCAACACCACATCCCATGCAGCTGGAAAGCCAGTGGCCAGTGGACACGGCTAGAGGCATGCGTGCCGGTATTGCTGGAGCCCCGCACGGCGGCCGAGGTGGATGCCACCCTGGTGGCGCACGCTGCAGCGTGCGCCCCCCCTCCCACCTTTGGAGCCCTGCCATCGGGCCCCCCCCCGCGCCGACTGGGCTGCCTGCTCCTAGCCGTGGTGGGCGGCCGCCTGGCAGAGGGCATCAACTTTGGCGACGCGCTGGGTCGCGCCGTGGTCATGGTGGGCCTGCCCTACCCAAACCCCGCAGACCCGGAGCTGCGGGAGAGGCTACGCGCCATGGACGCCGCCGCTGCTGCTGCCTCTACAAGCCTGGGGATACAGGGGCCTGCCTTGCAGCCGCCGCCCAGCAGAGGCCATTACCAGGACCTGTGCATGAAGGGTGTGAACCAGTGCATCGGGCGGGCCATCCGCCACTCTCGGGATTACGCGGCGGTGCTACTCCTGGATCCAAGGTGGGGAGGCCAGCGTGCACGGGCTTGCAGGCTTGTGGGATCCGACGCTGGGTAGGGCCTGTGCCTTTCAACGGAAGAGCATCTGTGCATGACGAGCAGGAGGGTCGGGTCTGGTGAGCAAATTTCTCGGGCCCTGAACCCGCCAAACCTCCCCTCAACAGCCCCGACAATCCTCCACCTTGGCCGTGCGCTCAGATTCAGCCACTCGACTCCCTACCGTGTTGCAGGTATGCCGAGAGTTTTACCAAGCCGCTCAGACCACCCCTGGCCAAGCTCCCGGCATGGATCCTGCCTTCGCTGGAGGTGCCTCAGGGAGGTTTTGGGCCGGCCTACACACGGCTGGTCCGATTTTTCAAGGCCATGCAACAGACTGAAGGCTGAGGGGCTCCCCTGACGCTGTGACGAATTGTTTACTAGTGCACACACAGTTTGGGCATGGATGTGCACTCAGTCTGGACATCGAAAGCATGAGCCAAAGGCTGCTTTCAGGCACCCAGCGTTGCTTGAGAAAGAGGGGCTCGCTCCAGGTCAGCCGTCACCCCCACTGATTGGCTGCCTGCCGTCTTCGTCCTCCAATCCAGAGAGCACCACGGTAAAGGTTGCATCGCCATCTGCTGTCGTCGCGGCGTTGCCGTCACTGGCAGCCAGAGCACCGGCAACCAATACTTCCTCCGCCATCGCCGCGGCAGCGTCCCAGGTCGCCAGGCTCTGGCCGCTGGACGCGAAGGACACCAGCTGCTGGGCGAAGCGCGTGGCGTGCCGGTGCAGGAAGGGACCGGCCGCTGTGCCGAGCCGAGTGCAGAGGTCCTGGAGCTTACAAAGGGGGGAATGAGGTTTGAGGGTTGCAGCGAGCGAGCATTGCACCAGAGCCACCCTGCCGTTCTCCCATCTCCAAGGCGCGCAGCACACCTCCAACACCCTCGACCAAAACGGGCTCCACCGCACCGCATGGGAGGGGCCACCGCCGCTCGTCCCCGGACGAGCGCCGCCACCGAGTTGGGCAGCACCTCGCAGCGTGCCCAGCAGGTGCTGACCCAGCAGGTCGACATCGCCCTGCAGCAGGATCGCCTGCAGCTCCCGCGTCACCCAGCGAGCCACGTCGGAGCGTGCCGCCAGGGCCGGCGAGACGCGCCTGGCCCACGGCGGGGTCATGCCATCCTCGCCACCCTGCTGCTGCACCTCCATGACATCGCCAGAGAAGTAGCTGGCCCGCCGCCGCCGGTGCTGGACGGTGAGGTGGAGGTCACTGCCCGTGGAGGACAGGGCTGCCTCGTGAGCCGGCGGGCGCATACGTTCCCTCCTGGGGGGAGGAGGTGTGCAGGATTGTGTGCGGGGCCCAGAGGGAGGTGGCTTCATCGGGATGTTGGGGCAAGAGCTGCGTTGCCAAGCTCAGAATTTGGTTCCGCCCTCGTCACCCCAGGAGAGCCTCTACGACCAGTGTCACGAGACCGCACCCCTCCTGCTCAGCCTGAGCAGCGCAGGCAACACACCGGTAGGCGTAGTCACGGCAGTCCGTGATGAGGAGCGTGTAGGCTTGTCGACACAGCGGGCACAGCAGGGGCAGGCGCGGATCCTGGTTCTGGCTCCACTGCTTTATGCACTGCTCGCCAAGCAGGTGTGGCGCATGTGAGCAACGAGAGAGCAGGGCAGGTACCAGAGGGCGTGTGTTGGGGCCCGGTGCTTGCATGTTGGTGGTCCCTCGCCCCCGCCCCCAGAAGGGTGAGGCAGCCCCCAGCTGCGTGACTTGCCTTGTAGCAAAAGTGGTGGTAGCAGGGGTCGATGAATGTCTCGTCCGCGTGTGCTATGGCACTCAAGCAGATGGTGCACGTCCCACACACTCCACTGTGGGGTTGCAGCGCCATCAGGTCAAAACCTCGACTGCTCCACATTTAGCCTCGCATGAGCGGGCATCGTGCAGGTCGCACAGAGGGTCATGGGGGGCCAAGCCTGTTCAATGGTGCTCATGTGACATTGACACCGCGAGAAGCGAGGTGTGGGGATTTTGAAGCCTTCTTGTCTTGCAGGGAACTGAAGCCATACCCCTGCACACCAATCGGCAGAGGGCGTTTCAGGGACCCCACAGGACAAGTAGGGACCGAAACACACAGGATATACCCTATCCTCCCTCATTCCGTGTGAGCATATGAGGATGGAAGGTGTGAGGAATTCTCGTTTCTGAAGCACGCTTGGTGGTCGTCGATGACCACAAAAACGTCGCAGCCAGCGAGAATCTCATGGAAGCCGTGGTGCTTCCGGGCGCGACTTAGCATGGTGCCTCGCTGACCCTCGCAGGTCAAGATTGCCTGGCATCATTTAGAGAGTCCAGGAAACTAAGCCGAGAGAACTACAACTCACAGCTGATGGGCAGAAACCCCAGGTCCTGACCCCACCCCCTGCTCCGTCTCGACGACACGAGGCGCGGCACCGTGGCGTACGGCATAGTACTGGCGTCTCTGAATCCCTTGTTTTGAGTCGTTAAGCTCATCCAAGGTCACGACATGGCGGCGACCATGGAGGAGGAGGCCATCATCAAGTATCGGTACCTCACGCAGACCGTGAGCACCACGGCCAATGTCCTGCCTCCCATGAAGAGCCTGGCCAGGAGGTGAGGTGCATTTGACGGGGTAGCATGCACTTGCTGCCGCTGCTGCTGCTCCGTGCCTCCGTCGGGGCGCTGGCCCAGAGCCCAGAGCCCAGAGGCCCAGTGTGCGGAGCTCCTACCTGCCTGGGTTGCCCCACCCTTCTTCATGCCTCTGATTCCCGCCCCGAGACGCCCAGGTTCTTCCAATTCCGGACCGCTCTCACCTCTGGCACCGCGGCGGAGGCGCGGGCCCTGTACGACGACCTCCTGGTGGACCTGCACGCCATTCAGTCGGCCCTGGACCGCCAGGCTACCGGCGCGCGCGTGGCGGAGCGCGAGGCGGCGCTCTCGCCGCCGAGCAGCGGCGCCTGGAGGCGGGCATTGCCGCGACGCGGGGCGGGATCGAGGCCGCGCGCCGGGAGCTGGCCGCCGCGCAGGCCGACCTGCGCCACGCGCGGGAGTACGAGGCGCTGCGGCGCAGCGTGGTGGCGCTGGCGCCTCGCTCCGCCACGCGGCGCGAGATGGACGGCGCGTGCCGCGAGATCGGTGACCTGCAGGCCCAGGCGCGGGGGCTGGAGGAGGCGATGGCCCGGCGCCGCGCCGCGCTGACCGGGCTGCTGGCCGTCGCGGCGGGGGTGGCGGCCGAGCTGGAGAGCGAGGCGCTGGCGGAGGAGGGCGCGCTGCCGGAGACAGAGATGGCGGAGACCGTCGCTGGGCCGGCTGCGTTGCTGGACCGATGACCAGGAGAGGGTGGGGGAGCAGGGACCGGAGGGCTCATTCAAGGCCTGAGGATCTGGACTGGGTGGCTGACAGGCTCCTCCAGATCAAACCCTGGCTACGTTATTCTCATAGAGGGTGGTGTGGCGAGCCGCTGCATGGCATGGGCTCCAAGGCTACTTCTCCACACAGTTTCCCACCTTCCTCTGACACGCGGTGCAACCCAGCCTTCAAATTCCTCCGACCATTGTGGAGACGAATCCCAGCATCCCACATCCCCCTTCCTCTCACCGATGCCGTGCTTCCCAGACTCAGCCCTGTACAGCAACAGTTCTCTCGGGCAGTGGATGACAGGCAGGGCATGAGAGGGGACCCAACATCATCAAGGAGGGTGGATTCTTCGGTAGAGTGGCTCGTCAGGGGGGCAGCGGGTGGACTGACGCGTAATCCTCGTCGACATGGGTCTCAGGCGCAGTCCCGTATGCCCACTCCCATCTTCAGTACAGGCTCTCCTCCTGGTGGGTGGTGATGGTGCAGTCGGAGGTGGGGTAGGCCACACACGTCAGCACAAAGCCGTTGGAGATCTGGTCGTCGTCCAGGAAGGACTGGTCGGACTGGTCCACGTCCCCAGCATCCAGCTTGCCCGCGCAGGAGGAGCAGGCGCCGGCACGGCAGGAGTAGGGCAGGTCGACGCCGGCCTCCTGCGGGGAGGGGGGGGTTGGGGACAGGGGCATGTGAAGAGACAGTGGGAGGGGTGTCCGGGCCCAAGGCAAGGGGCGCAAGGGTATTTGGGTCCAGCTGAGCTGGGCAGCGCATTCGGCGCGTGCTCCAAGATCGACAGATCATGTGCTCGATGCCCGTGGCGCACCTCTGCGGCGTCCAGGATGTAGGTGTCGCCGTCGACCTCGATGGTCTCCTCGCCATCAGGGGTCTTCAGGGTCACCTTGTAGGCGGAGACCTTGAAGGCGGTGGCCGACCGGATGGGCTGTGCATGGTGTCAGGGAGGTAGGGCACTTTGTAAGGAGGGGGGGTTCGATGCATCGCCTCGCGGGCAGCAAAGACGCATGACTGTCCACAGATGGGAAACCCAGTTCATGGCCCGACGATGGAGCGTGGGCCGGGTGGCGTACGCATGACACCCCAGAGGCTGCAGGACCTTCGACGCACCTGCCGGCTGACGCGAGAGGCGAAGACCTTGGAGGGGCAACGGAAGCCCACGCGGGTACCTGCAGCACAATGCACCGAGGCGATGGAATCATGAGCACGGATTCCAACCAGTGGCTGAGTATACATGGGGGGTCGGAAAACGACCCGAGGCCGACCCTGCCTCAGCAGCCTACCACTCAGCGCGGAGAGCTGCATGACTCCTGGATTGACGTCTAAGATTAATCTAAGGATAAATGAGTTCCTGGAATTCGAAAGGCTTGGAAGTACTGGTAATTCTGCTCCGCGACGATGACCATGAACCAGAACCTCACCCAGAAGGTGTCCCGCTGCCATGTTATCGCCTATGATTCCTCGTGGCCAGCACGCGCAGCATGCACTCCCCCGGCCATCTCGGGCGGACTGCGGCGGAGTTCAGGCCTAGGAAGACCGTACAGCCTGACAGCCTGACAATCTTATATGTGAAACTAGGAAACGGAAACAGGTGAGGCCTCGGAAGGGTCCCATATGCACACAAACGTGACAGCAGCTGCGGACATCCCCTGCAAGTGACGCTGGGATGAAAATTCCACGCCACTAACCCGGCCTACGGGCCTCAAAGAAAACATCCAAACCCTTTCATCAGGGACCGTTTCTCGAGAATCTCCAGTATCGCCGCGACGACCATGGAGCATAGGGGAAGAACGTCATTCTGGGGTTGCGTTGTGGAGGCTGGGTGCTCGCACACCTTCGACCCCCCTAGTCATTCCTTCTCCAAGCTCCACCTGTCACAGGTAGGTGTCTCGGGGGTCTGGGGGGAGACGGGGCGTGGATGGGAGTCTGGGCCTGCCGTCACCCAGTCATGATGATGGCTCCACAAAACCCCCTCGCCTGCCGAGGCGTGACCACCACCCCATACCCAGCCCTGCTGTGACATGTCACACACAGGCCGCGCTCCCCACGGATGCCAAGCCCAACTCCAAGGCCACCCTCGAGGTGAAGACCAGGGACAGCCTCGCACGGGCCGTCGTCACCCTACGCGCCGGTAAAGTCGAGCATGCCAGCATAGACCTCGTCATTGATGAGCAGGTCGTGTTCTCTGCGGTGGGCGACGCCGACATTCACCTCACCGGCTACCACATGCCAGAGTTCGAGGGTGAGGAGGGTACGGCGGGAGGGGAGGGGAGGGGGACCGATCTGGGGGGTGCTGCTGTGTCTGCACGTGGGAGCGGATCAAGAGCCTCCTGCGAGTGCGGTGTGCACACACGCTGGGTCTGCACATTGCATGATCCTGATCGACCAACTACCGCACTCTGCGAGGCCAGATGAGGGGGAAGACTACAGTGAGGAGGACTCTGAAATGGATCCATACGAAGGAGATGCGATGGGAGTTGGCCTGGACGGTGAGGATTACAGCGAGGACAGTGAGGATTACAGCGACGAGGACAGTGACGAATTCAGCAGTGAGCGAGGGAAAGGTGGCTTGCCAGCCTCTCAAGCGGGTGTGCAACCTCCTGTACTGTGTACAGGGTTTGTCTCCAGGGCATTGACTGCTCCCCAACGGGGCCCATCCGTGCTCAGTGCCATCTCCCGTGAAACCGCAGGCGACGATGAGAGTGACCTGGAGGCTGCGGGGGAGGTGAGGCGCCCGACGCCTGAAATCAGGGAGCTACCTGTGAGCGCAGTGCAGTGTGCCTTTTTGATGTGGGTGCGCCTGCTGCGCTGAGCTGCAGCAGTGCATGTCAAGAGTAGTGGATCTGCTCAGCAGGCACAGCGCCTTTGGTCTACATGAGACGGCCACATCTGGGGTCTGGAATGCCAAGGCTCACCCTTTCCCCCGTTGCAGGCTGATGCCGGGGAGGATGATGTTGAGGCCAGCGATGACACCGAAGTAGACGACGAGGAGCTGGATGAGGACGAGAGTGAGGAGGAGGACGAGAGCGAGGAGGAGGAGGAGCAGGAAAAGGCTGCTGCCCCCACCCCAGGCCAGAAGCGGAAGGAGGCAGCCACACCAGTTGCCCAGCCGTCGGCTAAGCAGGCGAAGCAGGCTCAGCAGGCCAAGGAGGCCAAGCAAGCCAAGCAGGCCAAGGAAGCCCAGGTAACCAACCAGGCCAAGCAGGCCAAGGAAGCCCAGGTAACCAACCAGGCCAAGCAGGCCCAGGTGACCAAACAGCCTGCAGCACAGACGGTCGCAAAGCAGGCAGCCCAGCCTGTGGCCAAGGCCCCGGTCAGGGCTGAGACCGCCAAGCCGGCAAAGGAGGCAAAGAAGCGCACCTTCCCCAATGGCTTCGAGATTGAGGTCCTGAAGCAGGTGTGGGCGGAGATCTGTGGGGGGCCTGGAGGGTCGTGGACTCCCTAACTGACTGTGGTCCTTGGTGTGACAGGCACGCTCGCTTGGCTGGAGGGGCCTGGTGTGCAGTCTGTGAGGTGACTGCCACCATGAGCATTGCTAGCACAGGGTCGGGCTCCTTCCACAGCTCGTGCCTCCCAAGCTCAGTCTCATCACCATGTGTGTGCAGGGTCTGCCGGATGCAAAGTTTGCCAAGGCGGGGAAGACGGTCTCTGTCAAGTACACAGGGCGGCTGAAGTCTAGTGGGAAGGTGTTTGATGCCACCAAGGGCAACAGGGCGTTCAACTTCCGGTTGGGAGTGGGAGAGGTGAGGCGTCCTTCTGGTCAGGGGTACGGGCAGGCTCTGAACATGCTAGGGGGTGGGATTGTGAGAAGCACTGTGGGTGCCGACTCCGCTCGCGGTGTCCACCACAGCAGAGGAGGCTTGAATGGCCCTCCATTGCTGCCAGCAACGATGCAGCAGGTCTGAACTTTGGCCCTGCAACCCTTGGCAACCCCCAGGTCATCAAGGGCTGGGACAGGGGGGTGGAGGGCATGCGCATCGGCGACAAGCGCCGCTTGATCATCCCCCCGGCGATGGCGTACGGGACCAGTGGGGCTGGCAAGGCCATTCCCCCGAATGCCTGGCTCGACTTCGAGGTGGAGCTGGTGAACGTCAAGTGATGGGCTTGGCGCAAGGCAGCTTGTGGTCTTCCTCAAGTGAACAGAGCTTGAGGGGACGCAGCAAGATCCAGAGCCATGGGCAGTGAACCGGCAAGTCTTGTGGAGGAGTGCACTGCTCACATGTCACGCACACCAACCCAATCTGCAACACCAATCGAGTTGAATTGGTTCGAGTCCTGTCTGACTCTGTACGAGCACGTATGCTTCATTTCTGATGGCGGCCACCTTTGAGCGCCAAGGCTTACCACCAGGGGAGGTCCTGTTTCCTATCTTCAAGTAGGATGCGCATCATCATGCATGTGTGCCGTCTCATGCAGCACCCCGCATGTGTACCAGGGGTGCAAAGCCATATATGTGGTTACCACAGCTGTGAACAACTACATATGTTCAAGGTGGGGTGACACTCTGTGGTGACAAAACGTACGGAGGCTGTTCGGGTGCCGTAACAAGTGTGCAAACACTTATGCTACCAATATGCCGTTGGATGGGATACGGTTGCGCAATTCCTCCAGGCGCATGCCTCGAGCGGTGAAGTGGTGAACAGAGCGAGATCATCAACCCTCTATCCCCTCTGGCTTCGCAGAGGCTGTTCAGTATCCCCATCTAATCACGTTGGGATGTCCGGCGGAGCCCAGATCTCCATACTTGCTTCTCCAAACCCTCAGCACCTTGGGTGAAAGTGGCGGAACCTGGAGTCTTACGAGGGTAGCAGAACGCCATGGTCGGAAAGCGAAGACGAGGTACCTCCGCACCAGACAGCTAGTGGCGGTGAACTTCAAGCACTGGGCGCTAATCTGCGCGATCTACTGCTCATTATGTTTGGGCATAGACCAATGCTGCGACTCCCGTTTCGCGAGGCAATGGCGTACTGTCGCATTACTCTCAGCCTGTATTCTCTGGTACTTGCCCTAGAGAGAAAACTATGCTGTCGTGTGTTTCACAGTATATCCCCAACTGCCACGCATCAACAAGGGTTTTCTGCCGCGTTCCGCGGGGCCCTCTCAAAGGCCATCTCTCGCGCTTCCATCGATGTCACTGAGGCATTACAATTTGTATCTTCACTTGTTGTAGCTGATGTGGAGTCGTATGGCCTCGAGGGTTCAAACGGAATTGACATCGAGGAAGCCGTCGGTGCGGAAACCCTAGCGAAAGAAGCTGGGTAGGGAAGCTGAGTATCAAACATCAGTTTCGCAACGCGTCATGTTGATCTGTATATATACCACCGAATCGTGTTTGTTTAAATCATAATTCTGTATTCATTTATTATTTCCAAGCGACCGTCTCGTCGCCTTCGGTTCTGCCACGACATTTTGCATGATGACGAGGATGCAATGGTTGGCCGTTGCACTCGCCACGTCCATGATCGTGCTAGCCAGTGAGTTCAGCGGGACTTGAGTTTGAAATAATTATCTTCGTGATGTATCTCTTGCCGGAGGCACGTTGGTTTGAGCTCCATTCCCACCTCGCCCTCCCTCGTCGTACAGGTGTGCAAGCTCGGCCCCACCCTGACTTCAGCGACCGCTCGCACAAGGGGCGCGGAAGAGCGCATCCCCCCAAGCCCGAGGATGGGGCGTTCCCTCCCGAGGGCGAGCACCGTCCATGCCGGCCCGGGAGCTTCTGGGGTCCCGCCCCGGAAGGTGGCCCTCATGGACCTCACCATGGGCCCCATGACGGACCTCATGATGGGGCCCACCATGGACCTCATGACGGACCCCACAAAGGGCCCCACGATGGACCCCACGATGGACCTCATGATGGCCCCCATGACGGACCCCATGACGGACCCCACGATGGACCCCACGGCGGGCCCGCCCTGGGTCCACGCCCTGAGTTCTGGGATGAGGATGGTCCTTGCCACCCCTGGGACGACATGGAGGGGGATTTCGGTGACGACCTGGCTCCTGGTGGAATGCACCGCTTCGATGACGGTCCTGACGGCGCGGAGGAGGACAATGGCGGTCCAGACCAAGATGGTCTTAAGCGCCGCCGTTCCTGATACCCCGCATGTCATGCACGTCTCCTGTCCTTCGACTGTCTGCTGATCTCACCTCCATACATGTTTCGCCGCGACCAGGCCCCAGCATAGCAGCCCTCCATGTGCATATCTGACCCATTGGTCGCCTGCACTGGCTTCCTAGGCTGTCACATGAATCCTCATCGTGTAATTCGCCCCCTGTCCAATAACAGGTTGCCACATGATACGGTGCTCAATACTTCACCAGGGAAGGGACGAGATTCCATGACATGCAATCCTGCTGTCCAGGAGCTCCTCAGGCCTAAGGGCATGCCCTCCAAGCAGCATTGGGGGAGGCCAGCGCTTCGAGCAGGGCACGCCCCAGGGCCTTTGCCGCTGATCGTCTGCTACCTGGGCTGCGCGATGTCACCCATGCGGATGCCGAAGGCGAGCACGGCCGCCACCACTGCCACCAGCCGCTTCGTGATGGACGGGATGTTCGAGCTCACCCCTGACCCTGCCACAGGATGACGTTGATGCCAGTGATTAAATCGAGGTGGACGAAGAGGAGGAGGTGGAGGAGAACGAGAGCAAGGAGGGGGAGGAAAAGCAGCCCGCAGAGGCTGCTGCCCCCACCCCATGCCAAGAGCAGAAGGAGACAGCCGCCCCGGCCCCTAGCCAGCCAGGCACAGTACTCGTCAGGTTACCCTAGCGAGATATGGCGACTGATTGCTGGAAGCACTCCCAGATCGTTGCTTTTCATTAAAAACCAAGTTGAAGTTGCAAACAATGCGCGGCGTGCCACCGCTGATCGACCCCCTCTGAGACTGTTCACTACGGCAGACATGATGGCCGCCGAGGCCACAGTCCGCGATGGCTACTACAAACACCTCAGGACGCAGGAAACCATCCCTAAGGAGCGCGTAGATGACTTTCTGGAGTGCGAGGGCCGTATCTCAAGGACGGCCCTCAATTGCGCTATTTATGCTCCCACCAAAGTTCGAAGTTGAAACTATCTCCAGCAGGTGCCCCGTGTGATTAACATGCAGCCCGTCCCCTTTCCGCTGCACTCAGTCCCAGCTCTTCAACACACATACGGGACTGTTTGTCAGTTCAGTACTACACGTGCGCCCAAGGTCCGGGCAAACCCGTAATGGTGGCAAAAGACGGCGCCAGCCAGCGTGAGGGGCGGACGAGCCTGTCGCGCCGCCGCTCTAAAAAGACCGGCTGCCAGCGTAGATTCACGATCAAGCAGCTCAGGCAAGACTCCAAGAAGAGCATTGTTTCTACACTGACATTGGGCATTTGGGTCACAGTGACGCCACTTTGCCGCGTCTGCGCCTGTCCCGGTGGGCCGTTGACCTCGTGGAGTCGCTGCTGGCCACCAACCCTGCCTTTCGCAACCCCAGAATCGTTGCCTCCGTGCGAGAAGCTGCGCAAGGCAGGTGTAAGTTCGGCCGTCTACACCAGTGTGGCCGACCACTTGGCCTTCCAGCAAAACCACCCAGATCTTCACAGGGATTACTCGATCACAAACAAGGAGATCGCATGGGTTGCAGAGTGGGGGTGCTAGGTGCAACTCACCTGCAATTCCATGCTCTACAGTAGTCCCAACTGTATACGCTCCCCATCGCAGGAATATCCGCCGATCCAAGAAGTCCAACCCATGGATGCTGAAACCAGACGCAACCACAAGCCTGATGAAGTCGGTCCAGGCTCGGCGTTCAGACTTTGCCGTCGTCGAGCGTGACAATGAGGGGCTGATTGAACTTATCGAGCTCAACGATAATCACCAGCGTGTCCTGCGCGACTATGCGCATGGCCGCCCTGTGTGGATCGACAGCACGCATGGCACCAACGACCTAAACGAGAGAAAGCGGTGGAATGTGCAGCGATGGCGTGTATGGCCTGGCCTCCCTCTGGGCCACTCAAGCCTCCGACGGTGGGGGGGGGACAGGGCACGATCGATCTGTGCAGACTGCGCTCCATAGCCTTTGCACTCGTTATTCTACCATTAAAATGAAAATTTGAGACAAAAATCTGCCTTGTGCGGTGCGTTCGTAACCCCCGACTGGCCACGTCAATACCTCGCGATGTGGCATGAATGGGTCCGGCTAAGCTGGTGGCAACCAGACCTTCATCAAGCGCTGACGCTCATCAGATGTGTAGAGCGAAGATGGGTCGGGTCGAACGGCGTCAATCTGGCCGCTACGAATTGCCCTGAATGGCCAATACGGGGCAGATTCACAGTAACCCCCCGAGTCTGAGTTCTAAACCTGAGTCTCAGCCACGCGTCCGTGGGGGGATGACGGGTGTCCGCAGCTGAGCCCTAGCCTAAGAAGGTCACGAGGCCCAGGGGTAGTTAATAGAGCAGCTGAAATGTGCAGATACAGATGCAGGCAAGAAAAGTCGACCCTGGGAGCGTGCGCTGTGCAAATCGTGTATTGCCTGAAGGCCACGCGTCCGCTCCACAGGACAAGGGGATAGACGGTATCCGCTGCGACTTTCAGGGCCGAGCCGGAGGAGGCCACGACGCCCACAGGGGTTGATGGAGTAGCTGGAGGAATATTGTTGTATAGCCAGGGAATGTCGACCTGGGAGTGGTATGCATGACACGCAGCAGTTTGTTGCATACGAAGGCTGCTGCGGTGCTGGGCCCGGGTAGGAAACAGATGTGCAGGCAAGCTACTGTCCGCTGGGACACGGCTGCTGCGTTGCAGAGCGCTTGCATTGAGTGGTGGATTCTTCTGCAGTGCGTGATCATCAACCTGGTAACTCTTCAGCTTGGCATCAGATCAACATGATCCCAAGGTAAGATCGATCAGCGCGGAGCTCAGATCCTCATCCTGACTCAATCTCTCGAGTTCCTCCTGTCCTTCACACTGACTGCCCAAACATTGAGCCCTGCAAGATGTATGCAACATCGTATAGAAGGGTTCAGCGCGATGGAACCTCCATGTCAGAAAGTTTTGAGAGCATCGGGAATGGGCCCGTATCTCCGCAAATCTGGTTGATGTGTTACTGTATATAGTTGGATGGACAGATGACCGAATGTACGCTTTCAGTCTTAGGACGCCATGCCTTCGTAACGCTTACATGCCGGGTTGTTCTCCAGAAGTGCAGTCAAGGCAGAACCTCGCTGCCGTGTGTTCAGGAGGTCAGTGCCTGATCTGATCCCATCGGCCCAACGCGAAGAATCTCCGGCCACACCCCAAGATCCTCGCGGAGATCTCTTTCATCAGGCCCGCCGAGAGGCACGCCCAACTATCCTTAGACCTAAAGACGCTGACGTGGATTCACATGGCTTCGAGGATGCAACATGGCCTAGGAAGCCGTGGGTGGCGCTGTGTGTCTCTCCGGACGGAAGCCGGGGAAGCTATATTCCGGGAACCAGATCCCACGAGGGGCACATCGCTACCTATATATACAGCCGGACCTTAGCTTTTTCTATCAGAATATCGAAAATAAGCCTGCTTTTAGAGCAAAGTTCTACCTTCTATTGAACAAGCCGGCCTACAAGATGGCAAAGATGCACTGCTTCGCAGTCGCGCTCGCTTCTGCGATGATCGTGCTTGCCGGTGAGTCTGGGATGTTGTCTTCAGTTGTGGGGGCCGGCGGGTTCCCCTTCCTGGTGGCATCGTATACAGTGTCCGATGTCAGTCTCGCCCTACCTTTCCCATGCAGGTGTGCAAGCTCGCCCCGCCCCTGATGCCTCCCAGGTGGGGAGGATCATCCATGCTGGAGATGATGCCTCCCAGGTGGGGAGGATCATCCATGCAAACTCTGGAAGTGCCATGGCCCCGCTTACCAAGGCGCACCACATCAGCCCTGTGGCCAAACAGACCGTGGACGCCTCCATGGGCACCGAGAGGCCCGCCGCCCTGCAGACCGACACCTCCATGAAGACCGAGAGGCGTGGCACCCTGCAGACCGACACCTCTATGGGCACCGAGAGGTCCGCCGCCCTGCAGACCGACGCCTCCATGAAGACCGAGAGGCGTGGCACCCTGCAGACCGACACCGCCATGGGCACCGAGAGGCCCGCCGCCCTGCAGACCGACACCGCCATGGGCACCGAGAGGCCCGCCGCCCTGCAGACCGACGCCTCCATGAAGACCGAGAGGCCCGCCGCCCTGCAGACCGACACCGCCATGGGCACCGAGAGGACCGCCGCCCTGCAGACCGACACCGCCATGGGCACCGAGAGGACCGCCATGGGCACCCAGTCCTGATCGTTCGCATGCTACATCTGTCTCCTGTCCCTGAGTCTCGTGACCATCTTCCCTTTTTATGCCACACCGTGGTCCGCCCACCGTGTGGCAGCCTTCCATGTGCCTGTCCGCCCCTCTGGCTGCCTGCACAGGAATTTTTGGCAGTGAACAGACCCCCTGTGTCGTAATAAATTTAATACCCTTTGAATGATTGCTCATTACAGCCCCAGGGGGTTAGGGACGGGGGCTCATCCAGCAGTTACCCTGCCCCCCCCCCGCCTCATGCCCATGGGCATCGACCTCAAGCAGCCACAGGGGCGGCCAGAGCTTCAAGCAGGGCACGACCCATCGCCTTGCAGCCTATCGTCTGCTTCCCGGGCTGCGCGATGTCGCCCGTGCGGACGCCGGAGGCAAGCACGGCCGCCACCGCCGCCTCCAGCCGCCCCGCGACGGCCGGGATGCCAAGACCGTGACGGCACATGAGGGCCGCGGAGAGGACCATGGCCAGCGGATTAGCCTTGTCCTGCCCCGCAATGTCCGGCGCCGAGCCGTGAACCTGCGTGGGTGATGGGGTTGTCAGAGTGAGGGGGGTTATTGGAGGTGGGCAGGGGGGAGTCTCACAGGGCGAGCATGTGTTTGTGCATTGGGGACAAGGCAGGGTATCCATTGGCCGAGCAGGCATGCAGGCAGGCGAACGCGGCAGGGCAGGCGGGCATGCGCTTTGCAGGGGCTGCAGTTCCGCCCCCATGGAGCTTCTCGCCGTCAGGTGAATGTGTGGATGCTGCAACGCCATCACCCTGGCCCCTCACATGGGACACCCTCCAGCCACCGCAACACCCTCGTGCAAGGAACAGCCCAGCCTGGGCTGCGCACCGGCTCAAACACGCCCGGCCCATCGTTGCTGATGGAGGCCGAGGGCAACATGCCCAGTGACCCGGTCAGCATCGCCGCCTCGTCCGACAGGATGTCGCCGAAGAGGTTGCTGGTCACCAGCGTGTCAAAGGAGCGAGGGTTGCGGATCAGCTGCATGGCCGCGTTGTCCACGTACCTGGCCAGGGCAAGGGTGGGCGAGGGGGAAGGGGGTGAGTGCGTAAGGAAGGCGAGGGGGCCAGGGTCCTCGGGGGGTTGCGGTGGCTGGCTCCAGGCAGGCAGGAGCAGGACCCAGAAAGTGCCCCTGGGCATGCCCTGCCCCCCCCTCCTGCCCCCCCCCCTTCCCCAACAACCATCAGGCAACCCTGCATGCCCCGCGGCGCACATGTGGCTCAGCTCGACGTCGGGGTACTCTGCTCCCACGCGCGTCACCACCTCACGCCAGAGCTGCGACACCTCCAGCACGTTCGCCTTGTCCACGGAGGTCAGCCGCCGCGAGCGCGTGCGCGCCGCCTTGAAGGCGACGTGGGCGATGCGCTCCACCTTTGGTGAGGAGGGCGTGAGTGAGGGGGTGGGGTCTGGGCCAGGGGGTATGTTGACGGTGGGGGAGTGTCGCCTCTTTGTGAATTCAAGGGGCTGTGTCGCACGTCCTCGGCAAGAAACCCAACAACACGCTGTGCAAGGTGCCGCACGACACCCCCACTCCCACCTCAGACTCGGAGTAGATGTCAGTGCTGAACCCAACCTTCTCGCCGTCGCGCTCGCCGAAACCCTGGGGGGTGTGGCGCGGCTTTTCGGAGAGTGAGGGCTAGGCAGCGTGGCAGGAACTCATGCAGCCAGTCCTTGGAGGGAGGGCCAGCGGCAGGTTGTGCGGTGATGGAAACCTGCGACCTGGCCACCCCCACCCGTTTCGCAGGGCATGCGCTTCGGTAGATGGCCCATTGCGCCATGGCCCGGGTGACGCGCCACCCTCAGTACTTGCCAGCGCCCCGCAGCGACCTTGCCTGCCTTCGTCTCTGTCCGCCCGGGCCATTCACTCCCACCGCCAGAAAACCTGCCCCCCCAATCCTCACGACCTCACCCCTTCCACCCATGAGAAAAGCCCATGCAGCCCCCCTCACCCGGGGCTGGCCAAAGTAGATGCCGCCCACCAGCTCCCGAACGATGAGCAGGTCCACCCCCTCCAGCACCTCCCGCTTCAGGGAGGAGGCGTCCGCCAGGTCTGGGATGACCTTGGCGGGTCGCAGGTTCGCAAAGGCATTCAGGCTGGACCGCAGGCGCAGCAGCCCCGTCTCGGGCTTGCTGGCGCTGGGTAGCGAGTCCCACTTGTACCTGCAGGCGAGAGGGTGGGAGGGGTGACGAGGGCATGGAGTTGGGGTATGGAGCTGGTGTGGTGAGCCCAGGACTGCAGGCATGCACTCCCAAGGGTGCAGGGCGACTGCGCAAGTACTGACTCAGTGCCTTGGGCCTTCTCCCCGCCTGTTACACCGCTCAAACCCACCCTCCGATGGCAGCCAGAAGCACCGCATCGCTGTCTGCACAGGCGCGGTAAGTGGCATCCGGGTAGGGGTCCCCGGTGGCGTCGTAGGCCGCCCCCCCGATCAGAGCCTCGGTGAAGGTGAAGGTCTCGCCCTCCGCCTGGCCAGCGGCCTCAAGGACGGACAGGGCCACGGCGGTGATCTCGGGACCGATGCCATCTCCCGGCAGGACAGTCACGCGGTGCGCGGCGCAGGCGCAGGCAGCGGGGCGAGCCCGGGGTATGGGTGTCCTAGCCACGAAGGCTCGACGGGAGGGGGCGGCCAACCCCAAACGCGCGCCGGGAGCCAGTGCCGCCATTCCGTGGATCTAAATATGAAAATGCTGCGGAACGTATATGCATGTTGTGCAGCCTACAGTGTGGATTAGGTGTCTGCGCGCGCTGGGTCCACCTCGGCACGTGATGGGTCTGTGATCAGCATGGAGTGTCGGGGCGCGGATGCCGTGCGCATAGTGCACGAGGTGTACTGATGTTCTTCGTTTGCTGGTTGGGCACTCCCCACAGTGAGCGATGGGGGCGACCGCACAGATCGGCGCCACGCTGCCTGAGCCCTCTCCGGTGCAAGAGCGATGAGTGCCCTCCATATGCTGCTCCTCTGTTGTCTCTTCAGCACCCTGCCCTGGTGCCATGGTGTAGGCGAGGCGGAAACTTTGAGCACCCGTGATCTTCTGCTAAACACACCTCGCCGCGGGGACACACTCCTCATTGGCCGGGAGACTGTCAGGTGCTTGGCTTGGTGTGGCTCAGTGGATATTGCTGCCCATCCTCCACAGTCTTCCAGCATCAGACCGCACCCCTCACCGACGCCACACCCTCTGCCCCCTCACAGGTATGTGCCGCTCGGCCTCGCGCCCAACACAACCTACGAGGCGCGTGTCTCCTACCCTGCCACGGTCAGAGACCATGGGGGGGGGTGCGGATCGCGTTCTGCACACACCAGCTCAATCCTTGAGTACCTGGCGCCTGCATCACCCCAACCACCTCCCTCGTGAAGCTACCCATGCCGTCCCATCCCTCGCACAGAACCCGGCGCGGGTCCGCCTGTGGCTGGAGGGGGAGGTACAAGGCTCGGCGCGCATGCTGCTCGATGCCGAGCGCATCATCTTCAGGAGCGACGCCCGGGGGCGCATGGTGGGGACTGACCGCAACCCCGGCGCCATACTCATGCGGGCGGAGCGCTGGGCGATGCATCGTGATGGCGAGGCCGGCGCGCCCAAGCAGCTGGCGTATGACATAGGTGGGCGGTCTTGAAATGCGGGGGGCGGGGGGGGGGGGGGCCCGTTAGGAAGGGGTGGCTTGTACAGGGATTTAAGATTTGCAAGCATGCCGCCTGTTTACCATCGGCCGATGAACAACCCCAGCGTCGGGCAGGGGGGCGCATCGGGTCGGCCTGCTTTCGAGCGCCGGCTCAACGTGAGACTCTGCGCTGCAACTCCCACTGGCCGACATCGCTCCCCCCCCTCCCTCCCTGCCTCTCCCCCCCCTCCCCATGCCATCAGTCATGGAGCGCAGCGTGCTGGGCGTACCCTCCTCCGCCGGGCCCATCATCCTCGTGGCGGCTGCACTGCTTGTGGTCGTGGCCGCGGCCCTGCCCTGGTGGACCCACCGAGCCGTCCCCGCCCTGCTCGACTGGCTGGCGCAGGACGCCCCGACGGCGCGCAGGAGGCTGTGAAGCCACGCATGCGCACCCGGCGGCGTACACGGAGGGCGACGGCCAGCGCGGAGCTCTCGGTCGCTTCCCCTGCGCTGGGTCCCCAGGTGGTCCCTCCTAGAATGTGTCCCCTGATGTCCTGGTGCACGCTTCCGCGGCTTCAAGCATGCAGTCTGACATGCCTGCCGTGTGCACGAGAACAGCCCTCACGCGGCCAGACACGGGTTTGCTGTGTGGTTACAATGGGTTGCATCGGCCGGCCCCTGGGTTTGATCCCCCGCCAAGGCACGGGCCACAGAGCAGGCCTCAGCGCGTCTGGCTGCGCCTGATGAAGAATGCGTCCAGGGGACCCGCCGCGGGCCGCGCCCTCTTTGCACGCCCAGGCACGGTTCCCGGTCTGGGACCCACGCTGCCGCCGCTGCCCCGCCACGCGAGCTCCTCGCGCTGCAGGGCCAGAGCCAGGGCCAGGCTGTCCCTCTCCCCGGGCGCCGCACTGGCCAGAAGGCCCGCTGCGCCGTCAACCAGCGCGGCGCCCCCCAGCGTCAGCAGCTCGCGCTCCAGCGCGGGCCGGGGCTCGCCGGGGGAGGTGCCGGCGGGCGCCGAGGCGCCGCCTCCCAGCGCCTGGCGGATGCCCGGCCGCGCCGGCGGGGCACTGGGTGGGGCCGTGCGGCCCTCGCCGGGCCCCCGCTCATCGAGCTCCAGGCCCAGCGCCAGCCTGGTGACCTCGGGAGCCCGGCACTGCGTGGCCAGCACGCTCGCGGCGGCCTGCGCCAGCGCCAACTCGGCGCGCCGCTCCGGGTCGCCGACGCCGCGGCGGAGGTGGGCCAGGAGCGTGGGGGCCACCGGGAACCCACGCCGCAGGCAGCCGCTCTCGTAGCCGGCGCGCCAGGCAAGGAAGGCCCGTCGCGGCAGACACCCGGTCTTCGCCGCGTGGGCGCACGCTCGCGCGGCCGCCTGCGCCGCCAGCTCCCGCAGCGCGGCGTGCGCCGCGTCTGAGCCCGGGGAAGCCGGCGGGAAGCTGCGCTCCACGACCAGGGAGCGCTGCGGTCCCCTGGGTACCACGGGGCGAGGGTCCTGCCAGCGCACGTGGCGGCAAAGAGTTTGTAAAGGGAAAGGTATGGACACGGGGTTGGCCGCCCATGATACACCACAGTGACGGTCTGGGTGTCAAAGCGCTTGTGACCGCCTCTGGCCAGTAGACTCAGAGCAGAGTACCAGCATGCGCCCCGCCATCTGTCGGGCATGGGATGCGCACCCACACCAAGCCGCTGTCATACTTGTCCCAGACACTGGCACGAATGACTCCCGAGCAGCCCCACCTGCCCCGCGCCCAGCGCCTCCAAGAAGGCGCCCCTGTCCTCGCCAAACAGGCTGACGAGGCGTGCGCGAGGAATGCTTGCCAGGTCGGCCACGGCTTGCACGCCCAGCTGGGAGCACACCTCCGCGCCCCGCTTTCCTTTCAGGCCGGGAATGCTGGACAGGGGTTGCGACCGCACAAAGGCCACCGCCACATTGTCTGGCACGACTGCGAGGCAGCAGCGGAGAGTTGGGAGGGGAGAGTACCGGGGGGGGTCGGCTGCAGTGCCCGCAAGCGCTGCGATGGCACTGCTGTGGATGTGGCCGGCGGTCGAGGTGCGAATGCGGCACCATGCGCATGTCCGGAGGGTCCCCACCCGAATGCACCCCGTTCCAATCTATTGTGCACAGCGTCCCATGCAAAACCCTCAAGCACGGCCCCCTCCATGGCTCACCTGTGAGCCCGTGCGGCTTGGCCAGCGGGGACGCCAGTCGCGCGGCCAGCTTGCTGCGCGCCACTCCGCAGGACACCGTCAGCCCCACGGCAGATTGGACCGCGCGCTGCGCATGCTGGGCCTGGACGACGCCCCGCCGGAGATCAGGTGCCAGCGCCGTCCAGAGGTCTTGGGTGAAAGACCGCGCCTCGGCTCCCTGCCCTGCGACCGCCTTCAGGTGGGGCGGGAAGGGCGCAGCGGTGGCAGCCTGGGACTCGAGGTCCACAGGGCTGCCAACCACTTTGGCCGACTCGGGCACACCCGAGATGTCCAGGTAGAAGTCGTCGTACGATGCCTTCTCCACAGCCACCCCCGGCCAGAGCCCGCGCAGGGTCTCCAGGACCTGGTCTGCCACCTGGGTGGAGAGGAGACAGCAAGGGTACAAGGTCAAGTACTGGTTGCACAGTACCTGGGGCCCCTCCCATGATACGGCAAGGGCCGAGCGTGTGCACCAGCACTCTGACATGTGACCCTGGCCTCCCTGCGCTCTTCCCCGCACACCTGTCGGTATCGATCCACCCTCATGGGCCGGATCACGAGGCCGGGGCACCGAGCACGGCAAGTGTCGGCGCTCGCGGCTTCCATGGCCTTCAGCCAGGGCACCCCCTGGCGAGCCCCTGGACCGGCCCCATCCCCGCACCGGATGCCCGCGGCCCTGGCCTGCAGCCATGTGGAGGGGAGGGTCTGGATGTTCGCTCCGAGTCCCTGGGTCGGGAGATGCATGCGACCAGCAGCGGCTGCAGATCAGCCAGCCTACGCTTGCCTCCAAGACCAGTGGCTGGGACACGGCTGGGGGACGTCCACGAGGTTGTTCTGACATCTCATCTCAAGCCGAGCACCCGTACCAAGCCCTGTCACACCTCGTAGCTCACTGCCACAAAGCCGCCGCCATTGAACTGGGTGACGGCCAGGGGCACGGCGCAGAGGCCGGGGTCGTCAAGCCGTTCCACCGCGCAGTAGAAGCTGTCCACATCGCAGTGCAGGATCAGCTGGTCCCTTGCGGGTGCAGGGCACCGAGCTCCTGCGGTCTCGCCGTCTGTAGCTGCGCCGGGCGGCGAAAGATCACTCGCGGCACCGCCGCACCGCGCCGCCTCAGGCGGCTCTCCCAAGTCCCTCGCGCCGCCGCCCAGCGTCGTCTCGGCCGATGCACCAGAATTCACCGCGCCAGGTCCCAGCCCCGGCTGCAGTGGCGCAGGCGCCGACCGACTCATGCCTCCGGAGCCCACCAGACCCTCCCAGAAGTCGTCGGTCTCTGCAGGACCCTCCTCGCCCCAGTCGAGGCCCGCCCCTCTCCCAGTGGCGGCTCCAGGCATGTGGCCTGCTCCACTCCCTGCCCCGGCGGGGATGGGGACGGGGTCAAACGCAGCTGCGCCCCGGCCTGCGGCTCGTGCAGTCAGGTCCCGAGCGCAGCGCTCCTGGCTCTTGCTGGTCGGGGGCGGCAGGGCCCGTCCCCGCCCCTCCATGCCGCCATAGTCTCGGCGGCTGGCCGCGGCGGCCAGCGCCGCTCCCCTGCCCAGCGCAGACGGCGCGGCAGGGCCGGGCTCCGGCGGCCGCGCAGGTGGAGAGCGTCGGAGGTATGCCGCGATGGAGGAGTGGCCGGTGGAGGACGCGCGAAACCCCGTCCCCGACAGGTTGATCAGTGTGAGGTCAAAGGGCGGGGTCAGGCTGCGGCGCAGCGTGCGCAGCGCGGCCGCGGCCAGGGACCCCGCCTGCGCCGCGGCGTCCAGCCCGGGGTCAAACGCCTCGCTGGGCAGCCTGCACGACTGGCTGGGGCGATGGGCCCAGGACTCGCGTGACCGGTACTTCACCGTCAGTGTTTCCGCAAAGCGTCCATGCTCCTACATATGTGTGTGGTCGGGAGCGGGTGTGGGTCGGCGGTGGAGACTGCGCGGTGTGGAGAGCTCAGTACTCGCCGCGCCGACTCAAATTGAGCTGCAGAGGCACACACAGTCACGAGATCAGAAGGTCAACTCCGGGAGTTTTGTTTGCTGCCATTTCTCAAAGCGCCCTTTCCAGTATAAAGGCAAGAGCTGCCCTCTCGGTCAGCACAGACCCCACATGTGCCTCTTCGTGCAGCCGAGCCAGCAGGTCGGGAGTCAGCACGGCCAGCACTCGCTCCACCCCCTGCCAGCTGTCGCAGGACTTGAAGGAGTCCTCCACGCTCACGGCCTTGGTGGGGCCGCGCACGGTCACCGGGGTATCATCCTGGAACCGTGAATGGGTGGGAGACCTGGCGTCAGACGCCAATGATGTGAGAGGACCTCCACAGCGTACCATTACCAGCCCACCAGCACAGCCCGCGCCCCGCCCACCTTGCCCCAGCAGAGCCGGGACAGCATGCGAGCCAGGCGCTCCCCAAATGTGTCCACTAAGATGTGCAGCGGGATGGAGCGCAGGGCCTCTGCGCTGTGCACCCCCATCTCCTGAAGCTGCGCCTCCATTTTGTGGCCTATCAGGGTGGGGGTGGCGGCGGCGGTGGGCAGTGCCGCATGCTGCTATGAGACCTGAAATCCCCATGCCTGTGGCCGTCACATTCTGCTCCTTCCCCCGGGTGCATGCTACACCCCCACTCCCACCATGCATACCTATGCCTGGCAGCGCTCGGACCGGCAGGGGGCTGACAAACGCGGCGGCCTCCGGGGGGAGCAGGATGGTCTGGTCGTCGGGCTTGTGCAGACCCGACACGAGCTTGGCAAGGACCTTGTTGCAGGCAACGCCAGCCGAGGTCCGGATGCCCGCCTCCGCCTGCATATGGGGAGGGCGGCGAGGCATGGGATTGCGGGTTTCTTGCTGTGTGCCTGGTTCCTCAGGGAGAGACGGCTCGCGCACAGAGGCCCAGCTGGCTCTTGCGAGAACCGGGCGATCTGGGCCAGTCAGATCATACACTGCATCAAACAAGAATCCTTAAATCAACACCATTCTCCAGCCTGCCGACCTTGATGGCGGCTCGAATCTCCAGCGCCAGCCTCGACCCGGCCGCCAGGCGAGCCTGCCACCCGGTCCCGCTTTCTTCATTCTCGGGCGCGGCATCGCCCGCCGGCGGCGGAATGCACGGCACGGCACGCAGGTCCTGGACGCGATGCCGCGAGTCAGCCTCCACCCGCTGGCCGGCACGATGGACATGCCCCACATAAGCTGCCTCACTGGGTCCAGCAGGAATGACTCCGAGCGTGGCGGCCCTGGCGTGCAGGCCCGCTGCGCAGACCGCGGCCCGCCCCTCCACCTCTGCCCCGACGTCCACGAAGAGCTCATCCAGCCCCAGCAGCTCAGCTGGGCCAAAGCGGGAGGCCACCTCCAGCATCCTCCGGCTGGCGGCCCGGTAGGGGCCCAGGTCCTCACCGCTACAAGTGGGGCATTTTGAGTGAATGTTCTTTCAGGAGGAGGCCCTCCGGACCCTCGTCACAGGCCGGGACTGTGATTCAGGGCCCGTTAGAGAGTCAAGCCAGTGCATGCATGCTCTCCCCCACACACTCCCCACCTGGCGAGGACCAGGTTGGGGCAGAGGCGCTGCGCTTCCTGGATTCCCATCAGTTTGCGGACGCCAAACTCGCGCGCCACGTAGTTGCAGGTGACCACCAGGTACTTTTGCGTCACACCTGGAAGGGTGGCGGTGGTAGACTGAGGGGTGATGCTTGTGTTGGACCACGCATGGGCTGCAGTGACAGCAGGGAAGAGGTCCCAAGTCCACATCCTGCCAACTGCGTTCCCCTCACCCAGGGGTCTGCCCCGCAGGCTCGGATCCAGGAGCTCCTCGCACTGAGCATAGAAGCCGTCGGCGTCCAGGTGGACGATGACGCGGCCCGTGTCGGGCGGGGGCGGGGTAAGGCATGCGCTCATGGCTGGCAGGCTCGCTCACCACGCCATGCCCCCGTATTCAGCCGCATGGGACTTCGGGAATGTTGTCGGAGCCTGTGAACAGCTGAATAGATCTGAGTAATCTTGGTGTCCCTATTTAATGAAATGTAGTGAGGACTTGGGCGTCTCGAGCTCCCGCAAGATCACTTCCCGGGCACCTCCTGGGAGCGCCCACCCGCCGCTCGAGGAATGGAGTTTGGTGATACCATGAAAATAAGGCTGGGCGCGGTATCATCAACGCGCGCGTCGACAGATTGAGGCTCCCCTCTCTTGCGCCGCGGGGGACGGTATGGTGCCACCCCAGCGATGTGCTGCGATGGGGTGTTGATGATGGCATACCCCAATACCGCACCTCAACCCCCCCGGTAAAAGGTCTCTGCCCATGCCCAGCAGGAGATTTTGTGAGTCAAACGGCCCAGGTGATAAAAGGCTTGAGGATGTGGTGACGTCAAGGAGAAAAATCGGTTACACGTCGCCCAAACCTAGCGTGTGGCATGAACCCTTGGCCATGGCGCCATCAAAACCCAAAAACGAGCGTGCAAGTAGGATCACACGATAAAATGTCTCTCAGGGAACAGGTGCATCAGGCACGGCTCGACCAGGCGAGGCTCCCCAGCATGGCCACGCCTGGGGCGTGCGCGCCGTCACCCACTCACACCCATGCGCCTCCCTCCCCCCACACCCCCCCTTCCCCGCTGCGACCCCCCCTCCTCCTCAGCAGGCGCCCCCTCACAGGCGCGCCCGCCGCAGCTCCTCCTTGGCCACGGTCTCCAGGTGCACCACGTCCGGCCCGTCAGCCAAGCGCAGCGTGCGTGCGTTGGCCCAGAGGTGGGCCAGGGGCGTGACGTCGCTGACCCCGGCGCCGCCGTGCAGCTGCACGGCGCGGTCGATGACGCGCAGCGCGGCGGCGGGCGCCAGCACCTTGGCCGCCGCGATCTTGACCCGCGCCTCGACGTTGCCGTCGCGGTCCAGCGCGCGCGCGGCCTCCAGCACCACCAGGCGTGCGGCGTCCAGCTCGAGGCGGGAGCGGGCCAGGTCCAGGCGCACCGCCTGGTGTTCGCGCAGGCGGCGGCCAAAGGCGGTGCGGGAGCCTGCGCGCGCGCGCGCGCACTCCAGCGCGCGCTCGCCGTTGCCGATCAGGCGCATGCAGTGGTGCAGGCGGCCGGGGCCCAGCCGCCCCTGCGCGATCTCGAAGCCGCGGCCCTCGCCCAGCAGCATGCTCTCGCCGGCGGGGACGACCACATTCTCGAACCGCATTTCCGCGTGCCCGTGCGGCGCATCATCGAAGCCGTACACCGGCAGCGCGCGCACCACGGTCACCCCGGGCGCGTCGGCCGGCACCAGCACCATGCTCTGCTGGCGGTGGGGCGCCGCGCTGGGGTCACTCTTGCCCATGAACACGATGACCCGGCAGCGCGGGTCGGGGGCGCCCGAGGTCCACCACTTGGCGCCGTTGAGCACGAGGTCGGTGCCGCGCCGCTCGATGCGCGCCTGGATGTTGGTGGCGTCCGAGGAGGCCACGTCCGGCTCCGTCATGGCAAAGGCCGACCGGATCTCGCCGCGCAGCAGGGGCAGCAGCCAGCGCTCCTGCTGCTCCCGCGTCCCGTACCGCGCCAGCACCTGGCAGGGTGTGGGGTGTTGGGTTGTGGTGGGGGTGAGGGAGTGAGCAAAGGGAGACTTCTCGCGAGGGGACACTGGGAACCGCGCCTCCCCATCGGCGGCCCCCTCCTCTCCAGCCAACGCCAGCCATGCCGCAGCCCACCTTACATCATCTCCCCCCCACACACACACCGCGACTCCTGCCCACCTCCATGTTTCCGGTGTCGGGGGCAGAGCAGTTGAACACCTCCGGGCCCGCCAGGGAGCGGGCCATGGCCTCGGCGCAGTGTGCGTACTCCAGGTTGCTCAGCCCCGGGCCGAGCAGCAGCGCGGCCTCGGCGCCGCTCACCCCCACGCCGCGCATCAGCGGCGCCAGCTTAACGCGCATGTCGGCCGGGATCCAGAGGTTCCACAGGCCCTGGCGCCGCGCCTCAGCCTTCAGCCCCTCCAGGCACGGGTGCGGCGTCCAGCGCTGGTCGCTGTGCGCACGTGCATCGATGGCGCCCTCCATGGGCACCACCCGCTGGTCGATGAAGCGCGCAATGGCGTCCAGCAGCGGCTGGACGCGGGCCGAGGGCTGCAGCCCTGCGGCGTCCGGCGCGGCCGCCGCGCCGGCCAGGCGCAGGCCCGCGCCGGCCAGCCGGCGCACCACCGCCGAGTCGCCCACCGCGGCGGCGCGGAGGGAGGAGGCGTTGCCAGCCGCCGCGCGCGCGCCCACGCCCGCCAGGATGGCGGCCGCGCGGAACGTGGACAGCGCCAGGTAGAAGTGCCACTCGGCCTTGGGTGGGACGGGGATGCGCCGCGCCGCGCAGTACCTCTCCAGGTACTGCGCCTCGGAGGGGATGCCCAGGGGGAGGGGCTTGGGCAGCGGGGCCAGGCCAGGGGTGCCCTGCGTTGGGGTGTTTGGGGCATGTGTGTGTGTTTTTGTGGTGGGAGGTGGCGGTCCATGACCGACAGAGCGTCACGGAGAGCATGCATCAGCTGGTGCACACAAGCGCCACTGTTCGATGTGCATGCCCCCCTCTTCTCCTCCCTGCCAGGTCCATCAATGGCCATCCAGCACTTCACAGTTCCCTCTCCACACAGCCGCCTACCTGGGGCAGGTGGTAGGCCAGGCAGTTGTATGCCAGGTCGGAGAAGGGGTCGCCGAGGGTGGACAGCTCCCAGTCCAGGACTGCCAGCACCTTGCCCGACGAGTCCAGCACCAGATTGTCCAGCCTGGGCAGGGCAGGGCAAAGAGGGGTGAGAGGATGTCATCGCCGCGCTTGCCAGCCTCATCACTCCCAGTCCACTCATCCACTCGCCTGAAGTCGCCGTGCGTGATGCGGGTGCGGGAGGGGTCTGCGTCTGCGGCGGGGATGTTCTCGCTGAGCCACTCGCTCAGGGCCACCATCTCGGGCAGCGCCGACTCGCCAGGCTGTCGTCGGGCTGGTGGGGGTGGGTCAGATGTCATCGTGCAAGCAAGCGCTGGGCGGTGCTTGAAGATGGGGCCCAGGCATCCAAGCTCAAGCCCCCCCCTGGACTCAACGAGACAGAGCCAGCGACGCACCAGGATCGACTGCTGGTACTGCGCACTCCAGCGCTTCACCTGGCGGGCGCAGTACCCGCCCGCACGGCCAAAGTCTTCGAGCCCCAGGCTGACTGGGTCCAGGCTGTGCAGCGCCGCCAGCGTCTCTGCCATGGCCTGGAGGGATGGGGAGAGAAGGCTTCATCACCGAGGCGAGGGAGCGAAAACTGGGTGTGCAGCTGTGCACCGCCCCTGGGCCTGCATCCGCCATTGCTCTGCCGCCGGTGCACGGCCTCATAGCAGAACCAGCCAGCAGGCCACCCTGTGCGGGCTGTGGACAATGTGCAGGATCCCTGCCAGCCACCCACCTGGTACACAGTGCTGCGGTGCTCGGGAGGGGCGCTCTCCATGCCAGGGTTCTCGTAGATGTGACCCTGGACGTGCTCCATGATGTAGAAGGGCGTGCCCAGCACCGACGGGTCATTACACATGGCCATCTGTTGGAATGTGTTTTGGTACAGGACAGGATCAGGGTGAAGGGGAAGGGCCTTGGTACAGCTCAAGAGCAGGTGACAGCGCGGCACTCCCACTTCGCGCCCTCATTGGCCACGGCAGTAACACAACAAGATCAATTCATCAGTGACATACTCCTCTGACCTCTCGATCCCCTCCTCACCATGCGTGGCACGGGCACTGGGGTGTTTGCCAGCCTGGACATGATGAGGTGCTCACGATCCACGGCATGCGCAGACTGCAGCACTTTGCCGGGAGGCTGCTTGCGCAGGACAAAGCGCTGTCCGCCGGCCTGAGCATTTCGAGGGATGAAGGATTGGAGTGCGGGTAGCCAACGGATGGCAAGGGTGGGTGTCTCGAATGATGTGAAAGACAGCAGCCTACCCTGCCAGGCGAGAGGACCTTCACCAGCCATCTGCCTTCTCAGGAAGTATTCGAATAATGCGAAACCCAAACAGGGCTTTACCTTGAGGAAGTATGTTGGGTTGCTCTGACCGTGGGAGAACTGTGATATCTCCAGGGGACCTGCCGGCGCTTTGCTTCCCAATGTCTTCCGGAGGTAGGCTGACAGGGCAGCCTGCGGTGTGGGGAGGGGGACCATGTCGTGAGATGCCGTGATCACGGGACACGGCGATCCCGCGAGAGGGTAATTCATGCCCGTGAAAATCTAATATCTCACCTCGTCCAACCTCATCGCTGGGCTGACGGCGCGCAGGGCGCTAGATGTGTCGAGGACCATGATGGGAGACAGGGTCACGGGGTCCCCCAGGGATTGAGGCTTCAGGCCAGGTTTCGGTCAGCACGGGACTCAAGTAGGTGACGATCGGATAGTTTTTAAGTACATTCGGATGTATGTGTGCTGGGTTGGCCAAGGTCTGACATTGTATAATGTCTCGGATGAATTTGCATAAGAGCGCTGACGTGCATGGTCCGGACATTGTCGCGCGCGCGCTCGAATAAACTATTCCTCGTCCTCCCGACAGTGCACCCCTGATTGCTATTAGGAATGCACGCATATAGATTCATAAGGAGTCCACTTCAAGAAAACCCTACTCATTAGCAACCGGGTCCTTTGGGGGCCCAGGGCGTGTCGCACAAGGCGCCACCTGCCATGGTGGACCGGTGCGGTGAGGAGGGGCTGGTACCCCTGAGCCAGATCGCCAACGACTATTTTGATGCCACCGCACCGCGCGTGACGGGTCCAACCAGCTTCGCGGGAGGGTTGCGGCCCCTTCAGCCCCCGGCCGCCCGCACACCTCCCACTGTCCCTCCCCCCCGCCATGGTAAGCTCTTCAACGACCCGGTGCACTCCGCCTTCCGCCTCGGACCTGCCTGCACCGACATCATAGACTCGCGGCAGTTTCAGAGACTGCGGCGCCTGAAGCAGCTGGGCCTGACCTACCATGTGTACCCCGGCGCCTGCCACAACCGCTTCGAGCACAGCCTGGGCGTCGCCCACCTCGCCTACCGCTTTGCCCGCCACATCCAGACCATCCAGGGCGACGAGCTGGATGTGGAGCAGCGGGACCTGCGCATTGTGGAGCTGGCGGGTGGGTGTATGTGTGGTGGGCAGCGCTCAGTGAGACCTTGTGAAACATCAAGAGGCGCATTGATGTGGTGTCCTTTGTATCCAGTCCCACGCCATCATCCATACCACATCTCCAGGCATGCCACATCTCTCCCACCCCACCAACCCAACCCCAGGCCTGTGCCATGATCTGGGTCATGGACCCTTCAGCCACGTGTTTGACCGCGGGTTTCTGGCGGCCAAGGGCATCACCGACTGGTGAGGGGCCTGGACAGGTTTCGGGCCAGCGAATGCATGGGAGATGTGCTTGCTGTGTACACCCTGTGATGAGCCTGGCCATGCGCACCCAGCACTGCATGACCAGCTTTGTCACGGGCCTCACCGCCTGCCTGCACTGACAAACACACGCATTCGCAAACCTGCCCACTCTCTGGCTCCCCTCCTGGCAGGGACCACGAGGCCATGTCTGGCGCCATGCTGGACCACATCATCGACACCAAGCACCTGGACACCATCCCCGCCGAGGACGTGCGCAGCGTGCAGAGCATGATCACGGCCGCGCATGGCGGGGTTGGAGCAGGGGCCGCGCCGCGCCGCGAGAAGCTTTGGTTGCACGAGATCGTGGCCAATGGCCGCAACAGCATCGATGTGGACAAGTTCGACTACCTGGCCAGGGACTCCCTGTACTGCGGGGTGAAGCTGTCCTACGACTTCAACCGGGTCATGCAGTTCAGCAAGGTGGGCGGTGTTGTGAGGTGTTGAAGGTGGGGGGGGGGGGTGATTGTCGGCAATGAATGTCGGCCTGCGACCCAACATCGTATGAAACACAGCAAGCCGGGCGGTGGGCAAGGCGCTGCAGGCCCTCATGAGACATCTTGGAACCCCGAAAGGCTGAAGAGTGCGCCAACCTGATGAGCAGTGCTGAGACGGAAGCTTTGCGACGGGGATCCGATCGCAAGCCAACCCCACTCCTTTGCACGCTCCCTCTCCATTCAGGTCATCGATGATGAGATCTGCTACCGCTACTCGGAGTACATGAACCTGCATGAGCTGTTCCACTCCCGGGCCATCATGCACCGCCAAGTCTACACCCACAAGTGTGTGTGGTTGGGGGAAAGGAATGTGCCCAGCGCTGCAGGGGGGGGGGGCACTGCTGGGTCCATGCCAACTCATGCTGTCAACACACCAGCACCATTTCCCTGCAACACATCTTGACACCGCCAGGAAGGCCAAGGCAATCGAACTCATGGTCGTGGATGCGCTGCTGGAGAGCGACGCCGCCCTGAAGCTCTCCGACCGGATCTGGGACCCCGCAGAATTCAGCCTCATGGACGACTCCATCTTGGACGTGAGTGGAGAGCTGCGCTGGGGTGCTGGTTGCCCGAACGCGGGCACTGCGTGTCTCGCGCATGCTTCCCCACCTTCAGTCTTCCACCCCACCCTCACCCCTTACACCCCTGCGCAGTGGGTGGAGAACTACCGGCTCTTCGGAAACCTGTTCACCGTGGAGGACGAGAACATTTGTGCCATCGAGAGGGCGCAGGTGCTATGCGAGGGGGTTGTGATGGGCGTTGCGCACACACATCCCGCTGGGACTTTGCTCGGAAATCCAGCCGCACCACCCCCTCACAACATGTGGACGCAGGCCCTGATCGACCGCCTGCGTCGACGAGACCTCTACAAATTCTGCAACGAGGCTCTCATCCCAGCTGTGAGTCCTGGCTGTCTGTTCTCCTCACACTCGCGCAACATGCCCCAGAGCATGGGTCTGCATGGTTCAGCCTGGACGGCGATGCTGTCTTCTCACTGTGGCAGAGTATGTTTGGAAGTGCCGGGCTGCCTACTCCAGGCCGACCCTCAGGCCGCAGAGCCCCACGAGTCACCCTGCCCCGAGACTCGCACCCCCGCAGGAGGATGTTGAGCGGGGCCAGTGGGTCCCCCCCACCGCGGCAGACGTGGTGAACTCGTATCGTGGCTCGGGTGTGCGCATGCGGCCGGAGGACATAGTCGTCCAGGTGAGGTCGGCCTGAGGGCAGGGACCCCTGGTTTTGCATCACGGGCGGAGGGCAGGCCCCCAGAGTCTGCACGCTCCAGATTTGTGGCCGGCCCACCCCTGGCTCCTGCGGGGCATCGAGCACCGATCCCCATCCCAGTGACACCCTGTCCATCCCACGTCCCCCGCAGGAGAACCGGATCAACTTCTCCATGCGCAATCTGAATCCGTTGGACAGCGTCCACTTCTTCGACTCCCTGGAGTCCACGCAGAAACGGGTGCTGCGGACCAACCAGATCAGCTCCATGGTCGCCCCTGTCTTCCAGGTGCGCCGCCAGGCCTGGGGACACACGATCCGGGATGGGATCGAGGGAGAGGCTTCGGGACGACAAAACCGACATGCGGGGGCCGTCCTCCGGATCGGCCGCACAGATTTCGTTGAGCAATGGCTGGGCATCCAGAGGGAAGATGCTCAGCCAGCACTCAGCGCCCCTGAGTGCCCAGGCACACCCCCTGAGTACACACCCGCGCCGGTCGCAGGAAAACACACTCCGTGTCTACTCCAAGAACAGTGCGCCGGAGGTGGTGCAGGCGGTGCAGGATGCTTATGACGCCTGGCTGGTGAAGCGATTTGGGGGCAAGGTGCAGACACTTACGCCCTCCAAGGCACCCCGACCCGCCCGATGCGACACGGCACCCTCCGAGGACCTGCACCCAGCCGTTAAGAGGTTGCGGGCAGACTTTGAGAGCCCCACACTTTGATTTGAGAGGCATGGGCGCTCTGGATGGCCGAAGCCACCTTCTTGTCCACCTGCTTCAATTCCAACACTGCACTCCTTCCCCATTCAATGGATCCGCACTGAATCTCCTTCTGGCATAGGACATCTGTACTTTGTAATCCCCCTCCCTGCCTGTGTCGGCATTTTGCTATGGCTGCAATGACATGGGTACCGGCACAAGCATCAAGGGGAGGGGCACAGAGCATCGGATGTCAGCAGTCTACCAGAACATGTCGTCAGCGGTGCCCGTCACCAGGAAGCCGGCCAGAAACTGACAAGAAAGGGGGAGGGTTGGTCAGTGAGGAAAGCACTGGGAGCCGTGGCATGCGCTCAGGACAGCCACTCCCACAAGCACCAGGGGCAACCATGCTGTCTTGTCTTACACCCTTCCAGCCCAGCACACCTGGAGAATGAAGAAGCCGACCAGCGGCGTCAGGTCAATGGTACCCAGCAGCGGGGGGACAAGGCCGCTGAAGAGCTTCAGGTATGGGTCGGTGACCTGCCTCAGAGCCAGCCAGGGCTGCTGGTCCCACCACGTGAAGGTGGGGAACCAGCTCAGCAGCACTCGCAGGAAGAGGAGCAGCAGGTACAACTGCATGGGAGGTGGTTATTGGGAACAAACTCAGACCTTGAAGCAGGTCGGCATGCATGTGGGGTTTGCACCATGCACAGGCAGGAACAGCCTTTACAGCATGTTCTTTTACCCAGCACGACCACCAATCCCCGCTCTGTGCGCGCACCTTGATGAAACTCGCCACCGCCTTGGTCATGACGAGGAGGGAGCCCGCGCTCCCAGACACGGCGGCAAAGGGCGCAAGGAGGGTGAGAAGCTTCATCTGCTTCACGGAGGTCCTGATCTGCTGGCTTACATCCTGTATGCAACCGCATATGGGAGAAGGGCCTTGAGTGCGGGTATGCGAAGGGACGAAAAGATCGCATGGAGCACCCACCCACACACGCACCTCTGGAGTTGCGGATTGGGCCTTCTGGATGCTGGCAAGCCAGGCCCCGGTCAGCCTGCAACGCACAGCTCCGAACGCATTGGATACAAGACGCACTGCATCGCCACTAAGAGCAGTGGCGCTACTGGCCTGGACCGGCGAATATCCGCGCGTTCTGGAGGCTCCAAATGCCCGACAAGGCTGGGAACGGGTCCGGCCAACACCGGCTTGTAGACCGGTCGTCAGCCTCGCTGGACGCACACTTGTCCCGCAATACATGGCAAGCCCTTTTTTAAACGAGTAATCCAGGAGTGGTGGTACACGCATCGTGGTGCTTCACATGCACAATGGGAGCGATGGCATCCGATCATGCGGAGCATGCGGTGCTGTGCCAGGCTACGCTCAGCTTGTAAACAGTCAATCACAGCAAGATGCTAGGATAATTATAAGACTGCGACATATGCAGCATGCAATGTCGGTGACTCCGACGACCTTGGCACGCGCCACGAGCAGCAGCAAGTCCTGCCTGGCAGGTCGCGCTCCGACCACCTCTTCCGGACCTGTGCGCGTCCTGTCGACCTGCGGTGTACACAGTCCGACACACCGTCTAAAACATGCAACCAATGCTGCTCGCGAAGCTCGTATGGGCCCGGGTCCTCCAAAGGTAAGATTACTCGGCAATGCTCTGCCCTGGAGTCAGGCGACCTGAGTCACCCCTGGAGCATGGGCCAAACTCACGAGCCCGCCGTTCAAACCCCCAACAGGCGCGGCAGACCGTGGTTTGCGGGGCAGGCGGACTAACGCCCACCAGACATGCTGTCTTGCACGACTTCTGCATGGTCCTGCCCGCCGGCGGTCTCCTCCTCGCCGCCGGCGTCGCCGGCCTCCTGGCTGGCTCCGGCAGGGGCGCCGCGGTCGTGGCATGGGGAGGGGTAGCGGAGCTGCTCCTCGCCGCCATGAGCTTGAAAGCCTGGAAGAAGGGACGCCGCTCAGTTGGGGCCGCCATCACCTCCCTGCAAACAGGTGCGCTGCGGAAATCGAACAGAAGAGTTGTTAACATGGCCTGTGCCATGCTGCATGCCCTGCAGCAGCGAGTCACTCTGTCGCCCCGCCACTCCATTGTCGCAGGCATCGCTGCATTCCTCTCGCTGCGGCTCTATCGTGTCTTCCTAGCCTCCGCCAAGCCCGCCGCCCGCATTGTGCATGGCGTGCTCCTGGCAATCGCAGGCTCGCTCCTCGTTTTCCTGGTGTACAACCTGCTTGCAGGGGGGAACCCACCGAAGCGTGCTCAGCCTGGCGAGGAGCCCTGACCGGCACAACGAGCCTGCGAGCATGCAGCTTCAGACCCCCTGATCTCCGCAGACTGCCCTGCTGATGGACCCAGACCCTCCTCTGACTCCAAGTGACGCAGTGCCCGTTATACAAATGAGATGCATGTACAGCAGACACGGAGATTGGGAAGGACAGATGTAGGAAGACTGGTCACGGCGGCCGTCATGTCCCGGTACTACCAACTCCGAGAGACACCACCGCCCGATCCGGTGAGGTTACCACCTCTCCCCCTCTCTACAAAGTAAGGCAATGGGGAACAATCAATCCCCGGTTCATTTAGACACCTACCTGCATCGCAAAGAGATCACCATGGAAAGGTGCTTCCCCAGGTGATGAGTCGCCACCTGGCTGAGCACCTTTCGACTCCCGGCGCATGGCAAGCTACTACCATGAGGCGCGCGCCCAGGCCAGGGCCCTCAAGGATCGCACCACGGCAAATAAAGCCCGTTCAGAACGACGACTGACGGACGAGGAGGCGCAGGTGAGGGACTGGATATAACACCCTCAGCCTGGTCGCAGCTCCTGAGTGCGATGGGCTGGATGATTCCACCACATCCGGGCATTGCTTCAAGCAAACCCTGTGCACCCTGTCGCCGACCCATCTCCACACAGAGGGAGGACCCCGTGCATGCCCTCAGGCTCAGGGGTCATGCCTGCGCCGTGCCGGGCGATAGCAGGACGTGCTGCGCAGCTGACCTGGCGCAGGGCTCGGTCCAGCTCCCAGGCGGCGCACCCGGGGAAGATGTGGACCGCTTTGACGCCCGCATGCTGCTGGACCCGGCGGAGCTGGCGGCGGCGGGCCCCGCGCCGGGAGGCGCGGGGCGGGGCCCGGCCGACACCGAGCTGGAGGAGCAGCTGGCGTTCGAGTCCTACCGCGACGTCATCCGGTGGGCCTGCCAGGGCCTGGCGCCCCACGAGGGCCTGGCCCACGCGGCGCAGGAGGACGTTGCCATCCGCACGGCGCAGCGACGCGCCGCGCTGGGCCTGGCGGCGGGGATGCGGGGGGGCGGGGGACCTGCGGGCCGTGACCCTGGATACGCGGCGGGGGGGCTTGGCCACGACGCCCCCACCGACGGGGACAGGGTTAGCGCGTCAGAGGGGAGCGGGGATGAGGGGGGAGGCGAGGACCCCGGCGCCGACGTGCGAATGGACGCGCTGGCGCGCGCCTACGGCGTCGCGGACTTCTCAGCCATGCTGCGCTGGGCCGTGCGGCGTGAGGCGGCGGCCGCGGCGGCCGGCCTGTCGGCGCGCCTGGCCCCGCGTGGGCCGGCCGGCGGCTGGGCCGCGCGCAAGCGGGCGCTGAGGCTGCGCGCCCCTGCGGGGCAGGACGGGTGCTCTGAGGGGGCCGGCACCCATGCGGGCAGCCTGGACTGGATCCCGGTGCAGCAGGCGGTGGAGGTGGGGTTGCGCCCGTGCCTCAGTGGGGTGGGGTTACGCCCCGGACCCTCGCTGCGGGGGCAGGCACGGGACCGTGACGTCGGCGCACGGGCGGGGGCGCAGGGGCCGACAGCCCTGCCGGGGTCCCAAACTGCGCCCCAGGCGCACCAGCAGTCTCCTGGCCCGGCTCTGCCGCCCGCCAGGGAGACACCCAAGGAGCGCCTGCAGCGTCTCATGGCGGCGCAGCTAGGGAAGAAGATCCACCAGGATGCGGCGGCCCAGGCCCTGCGCCGGAGTCAGGTGATGGTGCACCTGCGTGCCCGTGGCGTGGGATGACAGCGCGCCGCCCCATGCAGGGAGCGTGCGATGAGCTGCCGGCAAGTGTTCGGCTGGGGCGGCGCTTGATCCGATGCAGGCCTGGGACTTCCAGGGGGCCCCTCCCCCATAAGCTCTCAGACTCCACCTGCCCGCCTCCCTCCGACTCCTGTGCAGGAGGTCCGCGAGGCAGCTGCTCTTTCAGCGGCCCATGCTTCCCAGGCCCCCCGCCGGGCTGGGGCAGGCGGGAATGCAGATCCAAGCGGCCACAGGTACTGTTTTGGGAATGTGTTGGGCTCGCCAGGATGGAGCTGCGAGGCTGAGTGTTGCAGCATGCTGCAACAGCGTGGAGTTCAAGGCACTGCGCATGGGAAGGAACGAGGAAATCTTGCTATGCATGAGTGTACTCCTGACAATTGACAAAGACATTAAGTCATGCACCTGCGTGGCCTTGAGCTGGCGGTGTTTTGTGGGACGAGACATGTCGTGTGAGCCGCCCCGCCCCTGCACTCTGCGCATGCCTTCGCCTCTGCATGCACCAAGCGCACTGCCATGACGTGATGGGCCCGGCGGAGTGGCTGCGCTGACACACACCGCCAGACTCAACCCCTTCAACCCCCTTTGGCACGCTCATGCACAGGAAACGGCGGGGTGGGTCCCGCAGCCGGTCCCGGGATCCTCCCCGCCGCTGTGGAGAGAGAAACAGACGCTCACCTCCTCACGGCAGCGAGGACGAGCGTCGATGTCGGTAGCAGGGGGCGGGTGGACGAGGAATATTGCAGGGCGTATTTGTGGACAGTCCCTGTCTGCCAATCTGAACCTTGCGATCGAGGAGCCTGTGTCCGCTGAATTCAAATGTCTGGCAACAGGCTGTCTGCTCTGTGAGGACAACGGTTGTAAGGCTGCGCCTTTATCGAGATTGCAAAAGGAGTGTCATACACGAGTCAGAATCCTGCGCACCACGCCGTGCAAGGCACGCGGCAGGACCTGGGTTTGACTGGACCGCACAGACAATGGGGCCTGGCCCGGCCGCCACGCTGGCAGGCCCAGCTGCGCCGTGCCACGTCAGCATGAACATCGCATGTCATTTAGTTTCTTTTCGTGGCGCCTTGCCTGAGCCATAAGTCTGCATCGGGTCATGGGAGGGTGAGTAAGGGGGCCACCGGCGTGACCCTTGGATCCTCCAAGACCAGCACAGGTCAGTTTGTCAGCTCTCAGACAAATCAGCGCAGGGAAGGGAGTGGTACAAGTGCTGTACAGGACAGTATCCCCACCCAACACCCCCGATGCCCAAGAGGCAAGAGCGAACCTCACCTTCTTGCCCCATGAGAAAGGCAGATACCGGTACTTGACCATGTGCAGGATCTGCTTCTTCATGGTGACGAAGAAGAGCACAAACCAGTAGAGCACCAGGATCGGCCAGAAGACGGGGATGTCAAACGCTGCGAAGAAGGTGGCAGCAAAACCCAGGAGCAGCGACCGGATGCTCGCATACCTGGAAAGAGCAAGGCACATAGGGGTGTGAATTAGAAGTTTGGGGGGCATGGTCGGGATGCTACCCATGGGAGCACTGCTGAGCCACTCGGAGTGCCTTTGCGATGCGAGTGCAGAGTCTGCCTCGTCAGTAATCCCGCCCTGTCCGCATCACGGCAGCATGGAGGGCTCTGAGTTCGAATACTGAGTCGTCCCTGATGCGAGCGAGCAGAATGCCCGATGATCCCCCAAGCAGCCAGCTCACCAGGCTTTGAACTCCGGCAGTTTGCGCACAAAGGGCCTAAACTCCTCGTCAGACTTGGAAGGGAGCGTTGGGCCCTCCAGCTCGGGATCCACTTGGGGAGTGAGGAATCCCAGCAGCAGATTCAAGTTGTAGATGCCAAGCGCATACGATACAATGTAGAACCTGTGGCATGGGCGCCAAGGAGGGGGAAAGGTTCTGTAAGCCGGCCGGTGGGCGGGAGGCGCGTCCCAACCAAAACAAAAATCCAGTCTCAGCGCCCCCAGTGCAACTCCCTCTGGGTGGCGGGGCAGGGACGCTCACCCTTCTAGATTGAAGACCCTGATGGCGTACACGACGCACACAAAAGCCCATGCCAGCCACCGGTAGAGGACATGAGGCGTGGTGCGGTCCAGGATCGTCTGCGAGGGAAGACGGATCGACACAGTGTCAATGCTCGAAGGAACAATTCAATGTCCCCCCTGCTCATTAAATCTTAATGTGCTGCCAACTGCAGTACCTGGGCTCGCCGTTGAAGCTGGCGTGCCGCCTGTATGGGCGCAGGTTCCGGGCTGGCCTGACCGTTCGCAGCACCTCCATTCAGCATCACTGCCGAGGAGTGTGATCCAGTCCCCAATCAAGACGCTTTGCAAGTTTGCAGCTGCTCCTGAAAGCTGGAGTGGAGGGCAAGAGTGCCAGGAAAGACAGGCTGCACCAAGGAGTGAGGCGCTTGCTTGGTCTGTCACGCACAGCGTCGGGGCAGCAGCGCTGAATTTGGGATAGCGAGAAGTTTTGAGAAGTGGTTATTCACTGCAGAGGATGGCAACGGCACACTTTTGGAGCTCTGTACGAAGGGACCCGGTTCTGTTAGCGCGCGGTGGAAATCCCGGGTGTTGGGACTGGGAGTTTGGAAAGGGGAGATGCTGGACGAACGGTGATCAAGGCGGCATCAGCACATCTTGCTTTCCCTCTGCAAGTGACTCCACTGTTTTGTCAGCTGAGAATCTGGGTGACTCAACGCATAGGGAGGTCGGTTCGCTGCTTGCCACCAACTTGGTCAAGCATGTGGAGTGCCTCAGACATCCTTCACGTCTCAACCCAATCCACTGAGGTCTGCCGACCTTGGACAACGAACATTTCCCTGGTCCTTTTGAACTGCAGTTGTTTGGCAAGGCTCCAGGCAAAACTTGCGGAATACTGCTGGTCGTATCTCTCTGTGTACGGAGATTCCTTGCTGCAAATCTGAGTCAACCAACCGCATTGCGGTGACGTTGTCGCCCTGCCTGCATTCCGGGCTCCCGCTGCTCCCAACAGAACCTCGAAGAAGAGTGCGGCAAGCCCAAAAGACGCATAGACCCCGTGTAACCACTGTTCCATCGCTGTTTGCCTGGGTCTGGTTGTATCAATCAGCACTCGGATGAAATTGCAATATTGGTCATGGTGAGTGTGGTGCACTTGGAAGGGGCTACTGCAGTCCATTCCCCCGTGTGCAAAACAGTACTTGGCAATGGAAGGGTAGTCGTCGCACAGTGTTTCGGATGGAGGGTCCCGTGATATCATGAGGGGGCTGAAACTTCTTGTCAAAAAGTGGGAGCGAACGCTGCATAGGGAGAGGCATTGTATCTCTGCACGAAGGAGGGACCCAAGCCTCCTTGGGGTTCCTGGTGAGACCGCCACCCCAGGGCAAAGGTTCCATTGTCCCCTGCACATCACGCCGCCGGTGGCTGTGCCGGGAAAGGGGCGATGTCCACAATCCGGGACTGGAAGAAGCGTTGAGTGGCAGTGTCGCCCGAGGCTTGGCACGTGCCGGTGGCAACCGCAGACCTGAGGGTGTTGGTGCAGGTCACCTCCAGGCTGCTGGAGGTGCAGTCGGCAAAATACTTTTCGCCGTTCAGGTTGTAGACCAGGGTCATTCTCGGGACGCTCTCCACCAGGGTGAGGCTGGCCTCGCACTTGATGTGATCGGCGTCCACCACGTCGCAGTATGCGTGGTTGAGCACCATGTTGGCGGGGGGGGCGGGGGCGGCGAGGGGGTGGGCACGATTGCCAGGACGTTGGACTCCACCAGGTCGCCCTGCTGGTTGTGGGCGGTGGCGTAGGCGGACCCGACGGCGGTGGGAGAGTCCACGCTGCCCCGGAAGGCGACCCGGTTGTCATGGGGCAGCACATCCAGGAAGCGGAGGTTGCGGCCCAGGCGCAGAACCAGGGTGACTCTGGGGACCATGGCAGCGGTGGTGACCACCCCCTCGCAGACCACCTCGGTGGGGCTGGTGGAGGTGCACATGATGGAGTCCAGGGTCATGAAGGGGGAGGGGTCGGAGCCGGCCTGCACTGGATGAGGGGGCAAGGAGTTGGGATGGGGGCGCGTGTGCCCTCCCACAGGCACGTCACATCCTCGAGGGGCTGGGGCCGGCACAAGGATGTCTGGTCCTACCTCTGTGAGGAGGTGGCGCGCGGCGGCAATGCCCGAGATTCCCACGAGCATCACGACGAAGCAGAGGGCCCCTTGTGCACGCATTCTGGAGTGGATGAGAGCTGGAAATGGAAGTGCCTGGGGCTTAATTTGTTGCTGCTCCGGAGTAAGCGGCCGATGGTGCCGTGCTCTCGCCTTTTGGTGCACGCCTTGTCAGGTCGGAAGCACAGGATATAAACGAGAATTAAGAAGTGATCACTGGGTCTGCCTCGTCTGTGTTTCGAGTGACTCTGAATAGCCGCGTATGTTAAGGCCTCCTGGGTGCGCACTGCATATAAAGAGGAGTGCCCTGCCGCGCGCGGTGTCCGGGCCGCGTTGCAGGTGGCGTACGGGAGGCGGCCCTCGATCCGGCGTCTGCCACGTTTTGGGGAGTAAGCTTTGAAACCTCTGTCTACAGCGACTAGTGCGACAAATGGATTGTTAATCCTCCAGGTAAATCCCGAGGTAAAGATGGCCGGTGTTTACCATTGCCGGAACCCAAGTCGTTGCCCTAGCACGGGGCAGACATTCTAGTCTAGTCCAATGGAATGATCTCGACTGCCTTGTCTATGAAGACCCAGCGCATGACGTGCTCCTCCATTATCCTTAGTGCATTTGCATGAAACTTATCATTTCCGCAGTCTCCCGTTCAGCCCTTACGACCTCGACGCCGGTGTGCCACTGATCCCTGTAACACCGATGCATCATCCCACTATGCCTATACCAGCGACATCCTGGACATATTATAAGATCTCTCTACTGTTCACGCCGGGTCTCAGGGCCTCGAATTAGAGTAAATGTGCACCACGAGCTCCCAGATGTCCGTGGGGTACCGCAAAAAAATTCTCAAACCTCCAAAGTATGCCGCGACAAATTCAGTCTGCTACATCTACCTACCGCTCCATCTAATAGCAGGTAAAAGGAATAATATCACAAATCCTCGCTCTGAACAGAGTCGGTCAGGGTCCGCTCTCTAGGTGCCTCTAACACAGAGCCTTGGGCGCAGGCGCGAAGCCATGCAGGGGATGAGGCCATGGGCATTTTGCCTGGATGAAAGGAGCTCCAGCGCCCGAGATGCCAAGATGGTTGTATATGTATACCACATGAAAGAAAATAAAGAATGTTTGATCGATTGTAGGCGGTGCTCTTCGACCTCGCCCCCGGCACTGGGATAGCTTTGCTGCCCACGTCGGGGTCCGATCCCCCCGCCATGCTGAATGGTTCCGGACGGCTGTGCCTCAGGTACGCCATGCCATCATGTAGGAAACGTTTCCTAGTAGTCCATGCACTCGCCTGTCGCTGCCATGCCAGAGGGCCCCATCCCTCCTCCGCAGGCCTTTTCGGGGGACAGTGCTCCACCCTCGCATGCTCTGGGCGAGGGCAGCGCACTCCGGGCCGGAAGACGCCCTGCTGTCCTCCCCCCGCCTCAACAAGACGCGGCTGATGCAGGAGAAGGTGGCAAACCTCCGCCAGACCTGCCTGAGGGTGGGCCTCCCCGCTTCGGGCACCAAGCCGCAGATCGTGGAGCGCCTTCTGGACCTGCACCGGGCCGCCAAGCAGTCTGAGGGAGGGGCCGGGGAGGCTGGCGACCTCTCCTCCAGCCCCGGAGATCCCACCCGGACGCCGATCTCCGCAGCAGCAAGGGCGCCCGGGGGCGCGGGGACGCCCGCCCTGCCCTGGCAGCCAGGCCCCGCCACGGCGCCCCCACCCCCGTCCTCGGCGCCGCCCTCCCCCGCCCCTGGCGCACCCTTCCCGTCCCACCTCCCCCCCGCGGACCCCTTCTCCGTGACCTGGCTGGGCACGAGCTCGGGCAGCCCCAGCGTGCGCCGCAATGTGAGCTGCCTGGGCGTGCGCTGGGGCCCCGACGCCTCGTACCTGGTGGACTGCGGGGAGGGCAGCGCCGCACAGCTCCACGCCGCGCGCTGGGACCTGGCATCGGTCCGGGCCATCATGATTACCCACGCCCATGGCGACCACTGCTTCGGCCTGCCCGGGGTCCTCCAGGCGGTGGATGAGGTGGGAGGGAGTCAGAGCTTTGTGTGTGTCCTGGAGTGGTGTGGAGGGGATACCCGGAGGGATAGCGTGCTCCTTTCGGTGGAGGGCGGGCTGCGCAGCATGGGCCTCGGCGAGGACAAGCGGACAGGGCGTTTGGGCCTGCTGCGATGGCGAGAAGGGGCTCCCCGGAGGGAGTGGTGGGCGGCGTGGCGTGCCCCGTGCATGGAGGAGAGAGCGACCCGGCGACTGCCCCACAACATGGGCACGCACTCCCGCACAGCTTTGCGCACCAAGCCCCCCGATCCACGTGCCTGCCCTGTATCGTGGTCATCCCTGGGGGCCTCCCTCCCTCCTCCCCTGTCCTGAACGTACTGCCAACCAGCCAACCACCATCCCCCCCTCCCTGCCAGGCGCGGCGGAGGTCCGGGCGCAACGTCGGCGCCCCGCTGGTCGTGGTGGGCCCTCTGGAGCTGCACCGCATGCTGGACTGCGCCGCGCGGCGTGGCACGCTGCACGCCCCCGCCACCGCGCTCTCCTTCGTGGCGCTGACGCTGGGGCCCACCGCCGCCGCGGCGCGCAGGGCGGGGCGGGGCGGCGCCGGCGCGGGGCGGGGCGGCGCCGCCGTCGTCCCCCTGCGTCTGCAGCCGCCGGATCAGGCCCCCGCGCTGGCGCCGCAGCGCCTGGCCGACTGGCAGGCCGCGTACGAGGCCGGAGACGAGCGCGTAGTGCAAGTGGGGCTGACCTGGACGCTGGAGCTGCCGGGCGGCGCGTCGGCTGCCGCCGCGCAGCTGCTGCACCGCGTCCCCTGCTGGGGATACGTGTTGCGGGAGCGCAGCGCGCTGGCGGCCCGCGAGGGCCCTGGGGAGGGGGCGGCCGCGGGGTTGGCACCCGCCGAGGGCTCCGGGCCCGGCCCCACGCCCCTTAACACCCCGGGCGTTGTGCGGCCGGGCAGGAAGCTGGTCCTCCTGGGGGACACGGCCGAGTCGACGGCCATCGCCACCCTGGCGAGGGGCGCGGACCTCGTGTCGCACGAGGCCACCTTCTGCGCCCGTGAGTTCATGTGGAGCTTCCCGAGGTTTCCGGGGAGAGGGGGTGTTGCTTGCCTCTGCAGTGAGACGTCGATTGCGACAGGGGCAGCTGCGCGCGGTCGAACGGCTCGCGCTCAAGGAGCCCAAGTGAGATCCCGCTAGCGGTGTGCGCTCCTCCAACGCCGGAGGCCACACTCCCCCATAGCCTGCCCCTCGCCCCCTCTCCTCCGTCCTCAACCACCCCCTTCTCCCCTTACCCTCGGTCTACGCAGGCATGCAGAGCAAGGCCCGCATCGCCACGCACTCCACCGCACTGGAGGCCGGCCGCTTCGCCGCGCAGGTGGGCGCGCGCCTGCTGGTGCTCACCCACTTCTCCGCGCGCTACGACACCCCCTCCCGCCGCGACGGCGGGCCCGAGGAGGGGCGGGGGCGGGGCAGGCGCGGCGGGGGCCCGCCCCCGCGCGAGCCGGAGGCGCCGCCCGACGTGCCGGAGGAGCAGCTCCAGGTGCTGCTGCGGGAGGCGGCCCAGGGCCTGGGACCCGGCGGGAAGCTGCGCCTGGCGCGCGACCTGCTGACCTGGCGCCTGCCGCCGCACGCGGCGCGGGCGGTGCCGTCCCTGCCCGCCGCCGCCGCCGCGGCGTCCGCGGAGCTGCGGCCCCCGACCTGGGACGAGGAGGGCTGGGCGCGGGGGCGAGCGGTGCAGGCCCCGCGCTGGCCGCCCAGCTACGCAGCGCCGGAGGCGGCGCCGGCGCGGGAGAGGGGCAGGGGCCGGCAGCACGGCACACCGCGGCAGCATGGCGGGCCCCGGTCGCCGGCCAGGAGACCCGGCGGTGCCCTCCAGGGCAGGGCCACAGGCTGATGGGCAGATGTGCCTTGAAATTTCCCCTTGCATTGGTGTTAAACTATCAAGAAGCGGCGCGTAAGACCTTGAAACGGTGATGAGGACAATGGTCCGAGCTGGCTGCCCCATGTAGTTGGCGCACACGACCTGAGGCTGCCCTTTCCATGTCGGTCGGTCCGTGACGCTCGGCGATCACTTGCAGGAGGGAGCATTTACCACCAATGCTGTGCACTGCCTTCTTGCGACAAGCCCACCATGCGCACATGAGATGTAGACTGCCGACGCTTGCTCATGTCTCAGATGGCGCGTGGCATTCCAAGGACTGCGGCTCGGGCCCTGAGAGGGGGGCTGGCCAGGAAGGATCGCTGCATGAGGACCAGTGCAGCGCCTAAGCCTGCCAGCCTCCCAGTTCTGGGGCGGGACATCAAAGTGGAGATTAAAACGGTGCAGACTGCCTCCAGACCCATCCGCATGGTGGTTCCGGATGTCGACCAGGGTGAGGCGCGCATGTGGATTTTTTCCGTGCTGGGAGTGGAGGGGGGGTGCTTTTCCAGCCCGGGTCCCCTCCTTAACCCTGCTCTCATGCGCCATGTGAATGCCCACCCCAGTCCTGCCAAGTCAATATTTCCTGCCCCCCCCAAAAAATCACAGTCATGGAGTACTATCTGTCCTCTGGCCAGGACTCCAGGGACCCCTACTGGTGTGCGGTCTGGCCCTCCGCGGTGGCGATGAGCGACCACCTGACGGGCATGGATCTCCGCCAGCTCAGCGTGCTGGAGATGGGGTGCGGCCTGGGCCTCGCCGGCATATCAGCGGCCCTGCATGGTGGGTGTGCCTGGCTGTGGGGTGGTATGGGCCGCTGTTCCTTGCACCCTGCTGTCCTCCCCTCGGGGTCCTGGTGTGCTGCCCCGCACCTTCAGCAGGACAGCCTGTGCGTCTAGGTCTGCAGCACGACTTGGGGGCCTGGTGTTCCCTGGCCCCCACCCCCTTTCCCTCCCCCCACCCATAGCCTATCCACCCCTCGGCACAGGCGCGGCCTCGGTCAGGCTGTACGACCAGGAGCCTCTGGCGCTGCAGTGCGCCCTCCTCAGTGCCCAGCTCAATGGCGTGCCGGTGGTGCAGCAGGATCCCGGCCCCCCATCCATCGAGCTGATGCCAGACTCTTGGTGGGACTGCCTCGGGGAAGGTCCCCCGAGGCCAGCCGCGGAGGGGTGTACCCCGGTGTGTGCCGCGCAGTATGACTGGAACTCCGGGCTGGGTTTGGCCCCCGCAGATCTGGTGCTGGCATGCGACGTCCTCTATGACTCAGCCTTTGTCGAGGTGGGGGAAGGATGGCAGAAGGGCGGGGAGGGGGCCGGCGGGGAGAGCTGCCTAGGCACAGCAGCCGGCCTGACGAAAAGCATCTTGGGAGCATGTGACTGCAGGGAACTGTGGGCGTGGGATGTGCCACCCACACCTCACTCATTTACCTTTGTGAGGTGACCCTGGCGCACTGCTGTTTCCACCCTGCAGCCGCTGGCGCGCCTGCTTCCAAAGCTTCTGGCGCGCCCGGGCAGCAGGCTCGTGCTCACCGACCCGACCAAGCGCACACCGGGCCACCGCCGGCAGCTGCTGGAGCGGCTGACGGGCCCCGGCGCTGACCTGGCGCTCATGCAGCGGACGGAGGTGGAGGCCCTGGCGGGAGACCCGCCGGCCTCAGACGTCCAGGTCCTTGTGTTGCAAGCCAGGCAGCCGGGGGACACCCTGGGAGTGCCACTGGACGACTGAGGACCAGGTGCTTGTCCTGTGCTGGGGAGCATGGCATGCAGTAGACAGCGAGTCACAATGGACGTAAAGACAGCATGGACTGCATGTATTGCATGCAGCACTTCCCATGTAGGACATCAGGTGTAGAATCGTACATGGGGAAGTCTGACTCCTGGCTGATCGAGTGTGCTGAAACGGGAGCATCAGATTCGCTTCGCAACCTGTCTCCATGCGGATAATGAACCACCCCGCGATATCTCACCCCGCCCACTAATGCATGCTGCAGCACCTCCAAGGATTTTGCGGCATTCACAGGTCCTGATTCAGACATAAGAATCGTTTCCATATTGTTCCTCGGACAGATCGGTGTGCAGCAGCTCCTGGGCCGAGGCGAGGAGGGAGGACTCCCATGCCGCCACGACGACGAGCCCGGCCCCTGAAGGGCGGGCCAGCCGGCCGGGTGCACCACATCTCATCCACGGATCAGTGGGCATCCATGCTCGAGAAGGCGGGGGACCGCCTGGTGATAGTCCAGTATTACCAGTCCACCGTCCTGGTCTGCAAACAGATGCGGCTCTACTTCACACGACTCAGTGGGCAGCCCAACTTCCAGAAGGTCATCTTCGCGGAGGTGGATGTGGAGGAGCTGCAGGTGGGTCCCTGGCCCGGTGGAGGAGGGCTGCGTGGGTTCTGATGCCTGCGTGGTATGGGAAGGGTGTGGTGGGAGTGCAGGCAGGATGCATGGTCTGCAGGCATGAGCTGCAGGGCAAACGCCGAGGTCGACGCACGAAGACCATCCTCCATCACAGAAACTGGCGCTGGAGGCGGGTCTGGACCGGATCCCGACCTACATCTGCTACATCCGGGGCGAGCCCGTCGATGTATGTGGCCGTGACCCGCATGGAGGGGTGTACCACATGGCCTTGCTTTCAACACTGCAGCGTGTTCCATGCCCTTGACACAAAGGCCCCACTCCACGCACCCCCCTCCCTGCATCCCCACAGAAGTATGTCGGGGGCACGCCTGCTCTTGTGCAAAGCCTGGTTGATCAGTGCCTGTCAAAATACTGCAACACCAGCCGGAGCGGGAAGGCAGAGCTGGCAGTGAAGGTGGCCGTCGCCGTCGGCGCCGTGACCGCAGGCGAGCCGGGCCTGAACTCCTTACGGAATGTGTTCTGGTCGGGGGGGCGGGGCCTCAGGATCGTCCTCGTGCATGTGTGTCATGAGCATAAGCTCTCCGAGGCCCCTGCACCTTCTCAGTCCCGCGAGGCCTGACAACCCCCCTCCTGGCTGGCCCACTCCCCGCAGGTCTGGGCCTGCTCTACCTCCTGCGCGCCGTGCTGTTCGTGGACGTGGACACCCAGCTGGCAAGCCTGAACGCATCCATCTCGCGGGCCAGGGAGCGGTACAGCGAGCTGTCCCGCACGCGCCGCAGGCGCGCGGCGCGGCAGCAGATGGAGGTCCTGCGCAAACTGGAGGACAGGCGGGAGAGGCTCACCCGGCCCAGCGCCCAACAGCTGCGCGAGGCCGCGGCGCGCCGGGAGGCGGAGGAGCGGGAGGCGGCGGCGCGAAAGGCGGCGGCGGCCGAGCGACGGGCGGCGGCCGCGCTGAAGAGGAGGGAGGCCAGGGCGGCCGAAGCGCGGCGGCGAGCGGAGGCAGGGTCTGACGACTCGGGTCCCGAGTCGGAGGAGGAATGACGTGCCGGCGCCAGGCTGGCGTGGACACCAAGCGGAGCACTCTCGCGCCCTAGGCCTGGCGCGGCAGCGTCGCTGGCCAGCCGGCCGCACAGCACCCACATCCCCAGGGTGTCTGCTTTCCCTGCCAGGTGGATAGTTCCCGCGTCCCTGCACCGTGCATGTGGACAGCGTTGGCATTTCAGCCATCAACGCAGTTGCCCTAGCACTCATGGACGCTGAGAGTGTGAAGGCCATCAGCTGCATCTGTCGCTAGCCCAGTCTGACATTTGGTCAGGAGCATGGGAGAGAGCCAGTTCCAAATGCGATCAGCTGGGTCGCCGGCTCGGCGGGTGGTCTGTGAAGGCTCCTGGGTTGCCGCATGCCTGTTCCATGGCCAGGGGCCGTGCATGGCCTCATGCCGCGAGCACGTCAGTCACGCGGCCGTCAGGTACTCGGCCTCATCCCGGGAGGCGATGGCGCGCAGGAGCGGGGTCATGACCAGGTCGTCGTCCTCCTCCTCCAGCAGCGCCTGATTTCCCTGGGGAGGCGCGCTTGTGTGCAGGGTTTGCAAGGCATGATGTTTCCCCTCGACGGGTGGCTCAACCATGCCCTGCACCTGGCAAAAGTTCAGGGGACTGGGGCGTGCCCAGTCCACAGGCCCAGTGCTCCTCTGCAACACCAAGTCATCCTCAGCAGCCGATTACCGGGCCGCCCACTCACCATGAAAGATCCGCAGGGCGTTCCGTACACGCTGGGGCTGGGTGGGGTGGGGGGTGACCCCCCACACACACATCCAACCCCAGGCCGGGCCGAAGTCACAGAGGCCTGCAGCCACTCCAGCAGGCTGGCAGCCTGCCTGGCCCAGATGCCCCTCGGCTCTGGAGCGAGCTGCTGCAGCGCTGCACGCACGGCCGTCTCCAGCAGGCTGGGGGAGGCCTCCACCACTGCAGGGCCCGCTCCAGGTCGAGTCTTGAGGCGTGGCAAGGCCCTGGCTGTCATTGGGCTGGCCGAGTCGGGTCGAGCTGGCCTGGGCCGAATGATTGGGGTCTCCAGCAGATGGGCAGGGAGCTCAGGGAACTGGGCAGGGGGCTCCTGCGTGTGCGCAGGGAGCTCTGGAAGGTGTGGACTCAGGCTCTCTAGTGTGTCCATGGGCCAGGCAGGCTCCTCCCGAAGCCAAGCGAAGCTCTGGCTGGTGCTGCTCGCGCATGATGCTGCAGGGGAGGCGGACCTCGCCCGCACCCCTTCATCAAGCCAGGGATCTGGAGTGGCGAGCCAGGAGGCCTCCACATCGCTGAAAGCAGCCATTGTGGAAGCGAATGATTGTAAGACCTCGCAGGGGGCGGCCTTGCGCGTCTCCATGCCCTCGTTGCCAAGGAAGGGCTGGGGGCTCCGAGGAAAAGTCGACCGCTGCAAATTCATGGGCGTCGTCGAAATGAGCTCTTTGAATATCTCGCTTGTATCAAGCACACCGGTGCTGCACTCACCGTCGAGTTTGGGGCGACATTCTCTTTACCAGGATTCTGGTCGGGTTGTGCTCGTTGCAGGCCAGCGCCCTGCAGCCAGGCCGACATAATGCATGGATTGACTCTGAAAATTTCAATAACATTTGTATGCAAATTGCTTCGTGAGATGTGGTCATTTGTTTGGTCTCGTAGACGGCACGGCTGTCGCGTGAAAATCATATCTTTCCCAGTGTTCTCCACGTGTACAGTCCTGTGCATCCCATGTTTCAGCCATTCAGGGTAAGGCAGTCCTCATTCGACTTGACCATACTTTAATACTCTCTATGTGGTCAAGACTCCATAAATTGCACCCTGTCTCTGCGTCTCATGCAGGAACCCTGCCAAGGTCATTTCTGCCCACTCCATCACCCAAAGGGTTGCGAAAGCACTGCAGATGGCAAGCATCGCTTTTCTCTTACCAATACACATGGAGGAGTGACGGAGGGGGGCTAGGAGGATCAGTGTTGGCTTGTCCGATTTATGGCTCGGTGGCCGCCGATGGGACCTGTGGATGCAGCTCCTGTGGCGCCTGGAACGGGTGTACCTCAACATGGAGATGAGCAAGAGCACTCCATGCAGGGGTTGCTGTGGTGGCTGCCTCACCGGCAGGCACAATATTTGTACAAATAAGAAGGTGAAAGGAGGCGCCGGAGCATTGCCCCCGGGTAAAGGGAGGCTCGGCTGGTGAGTGTGCAGGGAATCAAGAGTGACATCATTGCCCTAGCCATCCTCATGGAGGGCGGGGTTGCAAGGATGCTCCGACAGACAGGGAACGTTAGCTGCCACTTGTGGCATATGCCCCTGTCTTTCATTCCTCTTTCTCCCTTGTTATTGGTTTTCACCCTGCGTTTGTTCCATCTTCATGGGGTGGCATAAGCTGGTAGGGTGTCGCGATCCCTCTTCTCCAAGCATGGAAAGTGTTGTTTGACAAACTGGCAATCTGACAAGAACTGATCCCTCCTCTGTTGTCTCTTCATAACCATACAGTGTGATGATTTACAGCCGTAAACTGTCGATCAGCGAAAATCAAAGATCGTTGGGAAAAGCATCACCCGCTCCACATGGGGGGCGGGCAGCGTAAAAACCCAACAGGTCCTCCAGGTCCTTCCATCCACAGGGTCCACCAGCGACTCCACAGGGTCGCGCGGGGCGACATCAGGTCTGGGTCAGGTTCCAGTACGGCACCACCGAGTGGCAATGCAACTTGGTGGTACTCTGAAGCCACACATACACATAGAGATACAGGGGCTCGAGTAAGACAGCAGCACAAAAAATGCGACGAATGTCGCATAGGGGAGTGACATCATGTCTCGAATACTGGGGGGAAGGGTGGTCAAACAAGGACAGTGATGGAGCGACCGCAGGGCCAAAAGAGGGACAAATATGATGGGACACAGCGGTCACTGCCAGCGACACAATCGCAGGGAGGTGGTGGGAGAGAGAGACAAGGTGTGTGGGTGGTGCTGCCCGAGGGCAACCGGGTCTCCACACGGGGGGGTAGGGGGTAACGACTCCGAAGAGGGTGGGCATTGGCCAGGCAATTTAAACACGCCCGAACGGCCATGCTTTCTCAGCGGTTGGAGTGCTGAAGGGGAGGCTAAGCAAATATCCGAGAGAGAGAAATAGTATGCGGATCCTGCCCGGCAGAAAGGAACGTTCCACTGATGGGGGGGCAAGGGGGTGGCGTCATCCCAGTATGGGGGATGTGCCAGAGGGGCAGGGGGAGCGCACGATGAGGAAGGTGGCTCACAGCACGAGCTGCCGACGCAGGCCGTCCAGCATGAGGAGGCTTGCGGTGGGCAGAGGCAGTGCCTCAGGCATGGGGCTGTTGGTGAATCCTGGGCCGGCATACCGTGCCAGGAGAAGTGGGGAAGCGGTGGCCTGGGGGGTGGCAGCAGCGGCATGCTCGGCACGCTTCCGGGGCGGCGAGCGGTTGCTACTACGGGCAGCGACTGCGATCAGCGGCGCCCTGCTGGCAGTGGCAGCTGGAGCATCGGGCTGCTTTCCAGCCGGCTCACGGCGCTTCCCGTTCTTGCCCGCAGTCTTGGGTTTCACAGCCCCATCCTTCACGGGCGTCTTGCCTCTGAAAGGGGTGGGGACGGCCGCCATGGGTTCATAAGAAAAGGTGCATGCGTACGCATCCCATCACCCGGCTCGCCGCAAGCGTGTGAGAGTTTGCAGCACAGGCGCGTACACTCACCGCTGCAAGGTGGCAAACTGAGCGTTGTCAGCCTGGGATGGGCTGAAGAATGGTACGAGCTCGCGTTCCTGCATTGAGATGTTGTTGGATGCTCAGGATACCCTGTTAGAAACAGAGCGAAGACAATGCGCAGGATCCCTAGTAGCTACCGCCTGAAGCTCACCTTGAGGGCTGTCGTAGGGGTCGGGGTCCGCTGGCAAGCAGCGGTCAAAGCGTCCACGAGGTGGTCGGCATCACCCTTGAACCGGCCCTATATCATATGAGAATAGACGTCCAGAGTGAGACCGGGAGCTTCCGGGGACCGGGGTCTGTAACAACCACCCTCCGCATGACCCACGCCTACCTGTCGAGGCATGTGTCGCGCGACAGCAGATGGAGACGGCATGACTGCTACTGAAGCCATTGCGACAGAGTTAAACAAGATATTATGACAGCGGGAAGCTCAGGGCCTCAGAGCGACGTCGACGGAACCACGGAGGTCTTGCCGAGAGGGCGCGTCTTGCTTGCACCACGAGTAACGGTGCGTTATGGAGTAAGCAGAGTCTTATCGCGGCTGTCGGGGAAAACTTCCGGACACGGAGACATACTATACTAGGGAAAATAGGGCGAACCCAGAAATCCCACGTCCACAGATACGCCCTCCTCTGGGGCCCTCCCGGGGACAATTTGGCTGCGCTTCGCGCCAGATTCCATTTCCCTTGGCCTACGTGGCTCTCGCCCGAATACAGGGAGGGGGCCCTGTAGGCCGACCGACACCCCTGCAGGGCATTGCCGAGCAGGAACTAGGTGTATGATCAAATCTGATCACTCCAAGCAGTCCCCAGCATTCGCACTCGCCGTGGGCCCGGCACATTCGGGCACCCTCGCGCTGCAGGCCATACTCGCAGGTGCTTCATCCCCCACTGCCTCTCATTCGTCCACCCAATTGTGGCACATATTTTGTATTGACGTTTGGGGGAAAGGTAACAGTCCGAGAGGCCTGCTCGGCCCCTTCCATGGCCGCGCTGACGGGGGCTCAGTAGGATCCCAGGGGGGGGCCCCATCCTCTCACGCCCTGCGATGCTGCGCGCCCTGCGCCGCCTGGCGCAGGCCCAGGCCCAGGCCGGGGCTGGGACCTGGTCGCCCTCGCTCCCCGCCCTGCCCCGCTCGCTCCTCCCAGCCAGGGCCCCCTTCGGCAGCGTCGCCGCCAAGACCGCCGCCACCCCGCCCTGGGCGCGCCTGCCGGACCGCGCCTCGGAGTGGGCGCTGTCGCGCCTGCGGCCCAACTACGACCGGCTGCTGGGCGTGCGGTACGGCCCGCGCTTCACGCTCATCAACGCCGTGGGCGTGACGCAGCCGCGCTGGGCGCGCGCGATGTCCCTGCTCCTCGCTGAGGCCCTCACCCGCGGCGACCCACACGTCGCCTGGTGCTTCTCGTCGCCCATCACACAGGTGTGTGTTTTGGTCGGGTGGACGGGTGGGGGCGGGGGGGTGAGGGGGACGGACGGGGCATCTGGCCGACCTCTGGCTCATCCCCACTCCTGTCCCATGCATCATCTTCCCCAGCCACCGAACCAGACCAGCTAACAAACATCATCCCCCCCCTCCCACCTCAGTCTGAGGCGGCGTACCTGGCGGCGGCGGAGCGTGCGGACGCCGAGGCGGCGGTGGCGGCGGCCCACTTCTGGCGCTCGGTCCTGCGGCGCCTGGGCATGGCGGCGCGCCTCCTCTGGCTCCTCCTCATCTTCCTGCCCGTGGCCGCCACCAGCCCCTTCGCCGGCCGCCCCGGCCCGCGCCGCCGGCGCTGGCTGGTCCACAGATACGCCCTCCTCTGGGGCCCTCCCGGGGACAATTTGGCTGCGCTTCGCGCCAGATTCCATTTCCCTTGGCCTACGTGGCTCTCGCCCGAATACAGGGAGGGGGCCCTGTAGGCCGACCGACACCCCTGCAGGGCATTGCCGAGCAGGAACTAGGTGTATGATCAAATCTGATCACTCCAAGCAGTCCCCAGCATTCGCACTCGCCGTGGGCCCGGCACATTCGGGCACCCTCGCGCTGCAGGCCATACTCGCAGGTGCTTCATCCCCCACTGCCTCTCATTCGTCCACCCAATTGTGGCACATATTTTGTATTGACGTTTGGGGGAAAGGTAACAGTCCGAGAGGCCTGCTCGGCCCCTTCCATGGCCGCGCTGACGGGGGCTCAGTAGGATCCCAGGGGGGGGCCCCATCCTCTCACGCCCTGCGATGCTGCGCGCCCTGCGCCGCCTGGCGCAGGCCCAGGCCCAGGCCGGGGCTGGGACCTGGTCGCCCTCGCTCCCCGCCCTGCCCCGCTCGCTCCTCCCAGCCAGGGCCCCCTTCGGCAGCGTCGCCGCCAAGACCGCCGCCACCCCGCCCTGGGCGCGCCTGCCGGACCGCGCCTCGGAGTGGGCGCTGTCGCGCCTGCGGCCCAACTACGACCGGCTGCTGGGCGTGCGGTACGGCCCGCGCTTCACGCTCATCAACGCCGTGGGCGTGACGCAGCCGCGCTGGGCGCGCGCGATGTCCCTGCTCCTCGCTGAGGCCCTCACCCGCGGCGACCCACACGTCGCCTGGTGCTTCTCGTCGCCCATCACACAGGTGTGTGTTTTGGTCGGGTGGACGGGTGGGGGCGGGGGGGTGAGGGGGACGGACGGGGCATCTGGCCGACCTCTGGCTCATCCCCACTCCTGTCCCATGCATCATCTTCCCCAGCCACCGAACCAGACCAGCTAACAAACATCATCCCCCCCCTCCCACCTCAGTCTGAGGCGGCGTACCTGGCGGCGGCGGAGCGTGCGGACGCCGAGGCGGCGGTGGCGGCGGCCCACTTCTGGCGCTCGGTCCTGCGGCGCCTGGGCATGGCGGCGCGCCTCCTCTGGCTCCTCCTCATCTTCCTGCCCGTGGCCGCCACCAGCCCCTTCGCCGGCCGCCCCGGCCCGCGCCGCCGGCGCTGGCTGGCGCGCGTGCGGCGCGCGCTGGAGCGCGGCGGCCCCGCCTTCATCAAGTGGGGCCAGTGGGCGGCCACGCGCCGCGACCTCTTCCCCCCGGACCTCGCCGCCGAGCTGGCGCTGCTGCACACGCAGGCTCCCGCCCACGCGCCGTCGGTGACGGCCGCGGCGGTGGCCGCCGCCTTTGGCTTCGGCGTGGGCGACCTCTTCTACTCCTTCGAGGACGCGCCCGTGGCCTCGGGCTCCATCGGCCAGATCCACCGCGCGCAGCTGTCGGCCCTGGGCGCGCGGCTGACGGGCATGGCGGAGGGCACGGTGGTGGCGGTCAAGGTGCGCCACCCCGCGGTCAGCCAGGCCATCGAGCGCGACTTCGCGCTCATGTCCGCCGCGGCGCGCGCGCTGGGCGCGCTGCCCTGGCTCGCGCACCTGCGCCTGGAGGAGAGCCTGCGCCAGTTCGCCGCGCCGCTGCGCGAGCAGGTGGACCTGGGGCGCGAAGCCATGCACCTGCACGCCTTCAACTACAACTTCCGGCGAATGCGCGAGGTCAGCTTCCCCGTGCCCCTCTACCCGCTGGTCACCCCGGGCGTGCTGGTGGAGACCTACGAGGAGGGGCGGCACATCGGCGAGTACGTCGCGCGCGGCGCCGGCGCGCCCTTCAACTCCTCCCTCGCCGTCATCGGCGCGCGCGCCATGCTGCACATGATGCTGGTCGACTCCTTCATCCACGCCGACCTGCACCCCGGCAACATCCTGGTCCGGCTGGAGACGCCGGGGGGGCGCGCCGTGGCGCGTGCCATCAACGCCGCGCGCTCCTTGCTCAAGGAGACGGGGGTGAGAGGGGTGGGTGGGAGTGGGAGGAGAGGGGGGCTGGTATGCAGGCTTGTGTTTGAGGAGGTGTGCAGGCGGCTGGGTGCATGGGCGCATGCCCGGAGCCGATGAGCCGCCGGGAACGGGGCCGACCCCAGGTTCAGCACAGGACGCTTGAGAACCGATCCTCTGCACCAGAATATGTCCACCTACAGCAATTGCCTCCCTCCCCCCC